TTGAAACAAACCAAATCCATAAAACATGGCTTGAAGTTGGCTTGTTTCCCTGAGTAGGTGAACTGTGGCCCAAGGGCAACGTGTAGCTCTCTGCCTAATTTTGTATGGCTGGAGGGAGATAAGGAGGGCAAGAGGGAGAATCCTGGGGGGACAGGGACGTATCAAACAATGGAATAGGAGGGGAAATTATTCTGTAACTGATCAATACAGACTTCTGGCAAGAGAGATCTGTCTCTCTTCCAACGGCCTGGTAGGCAGAAAGGAAAAAGGAGGTAGCAGAAAAGAGAGTAAGAAAAAGGGGCAGGCTTCACCCCCTTTTGGCACTGAGTTACTCAACAGCATGTGGCCCCTGTCAAAATAATCTCCCTGGTAATGCAGACCTCAACAGAAAAAAAGGTTTAACAAGAGGCCTAAACCATAGTAAAGACAAACCACATTTTATCTGAGTTTGTGTTTACCACTGAACTGTAGTTGATAAAAAACGGGAAATGGGAGTTTCCAGTGCCCTTGCAGCCGCATTGGAGGCCAGCAGCATTTATGCAGAGTTCTCTCTCTAAAGATTACTTCTGGCAGTAGTTGGGCTTTTGGACAAGGAAGATAGAGCTGCTTAGGATACTGTCTGCTTTATATGCTGTTCTTAGTGTTTTGCGTATTGTTTGTCTTGTTAGTCCAGATCTTACAGCATGGTCATCTCAGGAGGGACTTGCTCCCCACAGAAGTGCAGCACTGGAGCCCAAGGCATCTCTCCCAGCCTCCCTTCAGCCTGCCTGCTAAGATGGTTCTCCCTTTGTTCTCCCCGTTCTTCCCAGCACACCTTGATAAAAATCACTCTCTTCCTGTCACCTCTCTCTCTCTTACCCCACCATCTTGGCAATTTCTGTCTGCCCAGGCCCAAGGATTCCTCCTAGATAGGCCATCAATACATGTTGTCATGCTAACGACATGGCTTATCCCTAGCTAGCTATGTGAAGCTGCCTGGGTTTGTGTTCCTAAACTGTATTTAACAGTGCTTGACTTAAGTTTTAACTAGCCAAATTGCTTACTTGGTGCATTGCTTACTTAATGAATTTATGAGTTTGCTCAAATTCTAGCTCTTTACTGAATCCACAGATTATGGCGAGTCTGCCCCTCCCCCAAACTCATAACACTGCATAGCCACAACTCCCAGAATCTGCAGCAGAACCGTCATTAGGGATCTTAGGGCCTGGGTTCTTGGAACTAGAGAGACCATAGTTTAGTGGCAGAGCACATGCTTTGCATTCTAAAAGTCCAAGATACAATCCTTGTAGTTCCACTTAAAAGGATAGCTAATAAAGGAAGAACCTTTGCCCAAGACCCCAAAGAGAGTTTCTGCTTGTCAGAGTAAAGTATGTTAGGCTTGATGGATGTATAATCACTACTGGGATAAGGCAGCTTCCTGTGAGCTTATATGGGAGAAGACTCTTCCATACGTATATTGAGCTACACTCCTACACTCTCATGTTTCTGTAAAGCAGGGAGAGTCAACATGGTGCCCTCTGCGTGTTGTGAATTCCCAACTCCTACCATCTCTTGAGTATTAGCCGTGTTGGCATGGCCAGATGGGAGTTGTAGTCCAAAGCATCTGGAGGGCTCCACATTGATTTCTCCTGCTATAAAAGTGTAATTCTACATACACTAACATATTCCCCCTTCTCCCTCCCATACCAGTGACCCAGAAATATACTGCAGTTCCTCAACACTTTGTGGCTGTGAGCAAGGGAAACTGGGAGAACTAGCCTAAAACAACAAGAGGAGTGGGGCCATAGAGGTGTTTGTGGCTCAGACCAGATCAAGGTTCAGGATGAGGTTTTTGTATATTTGGGAGCACGAAGGCCAAGTGTTATATGATGATAAAGCAAACGTGTCAGGTATTCATAAATGTGTTATAGGTTGGAATATTAAAGCAGATCTTTATGTGCTGCCCACAGTTCAAATGTTGTAGAGGTTTTTGCAGCTGCTTTAATGCCAGAGGCTAAATCTTTGGCAGCTGCATAGTATTTTTGAATGTTTTTTCTTAGGGGGAGAGTTTAAAGAAAACTAATAAAGCATCGTTTGAACAAGACAGTCAGATTAGACGGTCATCCAAAATCTTAGGCATACAGAAGTATACTGCTTTAAATTTTGGACACTTCAGAAGCAAACAAGTCAGAGACTGCTATTGTAGAGATGGAAAACTTAAGGGAAATTTGAAGAAAAACTGTTGACAGTTTTCACTTGTGAAATTTTTGTGGCATTATGTCCTTTAGAAAGCATGGTCAGTGTGGACCGTGTTGCAGTTAAAGGAAAGGAAAGGAAAGGAAAGGAAAGGAAAGGAAAGAAGAAATTTTGATGATTTCATTTGAATTATTGCCTGAAAACCACTCGTCCAGTGGTCTCCCAAGACAGGAACTAATGGTGAGGGCCTAGTTCTGGAACTTTACTCATGCAGTCACAACACCTTCTGACAAGTTCTGCTTGCCACTGGAGAAGAAGAAAAATGTGCATGCTCAGAAATGAACTGAGTGTAAGTTCCACAGAGAGGTATTAAGGCAATAGGGTATTAAAAAGGGTAAAGGGACCCCTGACCATTAGGTCCAGTCGTGACTGACTCTGGGGTTGCGGCGCTCATCTCGCTTTATTGGCCGAGGGAGCTGGCGTACAGCTTCCGGGTCATGTGGCCAGCATGACTAAGCCGCTTCTGGCGAACCAGAGCAGCGCGCGGAAACGCCGTTTACCTTCCTGCCGGAGTGGTACCTATTTATCTACTTGCACTTTGATGTGCTTTCAAACTGCTAGGTTGGCAGGAGCAGGGACTGAGCAATGGGAGCTCACCCCGTCGTGGGGATTCAAACCACCGACCTTCTGATCGGCAAGTCCTAGGCTCTGTGGTTTAACCCACAGCGCCACCCACGTCCCAATAGGGTATTAAGCATGCACAAATGACTTACAGGCATACCTTGCTTTATTACCACATGACTTCAACCAAAACCAGAATGTGGAAACCTCTGTTTAAGTTGAAAGGCAACCTTGGTTGTGTCTAAACTAGGACATGAATGTGTAGATATGCATTTCCATGTATGTTTTGCTTTCTCCTTGTGCTTGTGTCCCTTCATCCACACAAGCACTTTCAGTTTTATGCTTCTAAAATGTACCTGGATGTTTCCTGTCCACACTCGTGGCCAGTGCTTGATTTTTTGTGTTGTTGTCAAATCTTTTCATGTGGATATTTGTTCAGCTTTCAACATTTTTGTTTTGAAATACAAGTTTTCCAAAATAACACAAAAGAGCAGTAAAAACATTTTTTAAAAAATGTGTGTTGCTTCATATCAGGCAAGATTGAGAGCTGCTGGAATGAAAGGCTGACACTTCCATTCCTCCCCTTTTTGTTTCCTGCACCCAGCAAAACATCATTACACATGTGTATAACCCTGCTCATATAATGTGCTTTAGTTCATTCACAGTCAAGTAACACGTGATTTTATACTGGATTATCCAGAGAACAGGAAAATCAGACTTTAGCAGGAGATGGTGTGGGTTGCCACTTGGATGAGGACATTGTGTGGAAGCTGCAAAAAGATAGAGAGGCACAAGCAGCTTCAAATCCACATTAGGCTTTGGTCTGGATGAGACCCTAGTTTGTAAACATAAAATAATTCTTCACCCTAAAAAGTCAAATCAGTGACACACTTAGGTTCTTAGAGAAGCTCTAATTGATGCTGGCTCTTCTTTCTCCAGCTATAAAAATGGGCAGACTCACATCGAGACCGTAAATAATACATTGTGTTCCCTAAGATGACAGTTGTCTTGTTAAACGTGGTCTTTTTAAAAGTAAAGAAGAAAATAAAAATGTCAGCAGTACCTTGTAGCAATAGTTTATCTAGCTCAGTACTGCCAAGCTGCAGCAGATACCTCTGGCCCATTCCTATGCCCCTGCCACGTTTTCTATTTTGGTAGTTACTATCTCTGTGTGTGTGAATCGGGATGTGTTGGGATTCACAGGATCTAAAGCACTGCAAGAATTTTTTTTGGGGGGGGGGGAGGGGAGCACAGTGGCCCTGGGAAGTGGTGTACTTATTTTTTAAAAAATTAGGCCTTAGAAAATGGGGAAAGAGATTGTGCACACCCTCCTTTGCCCTAAAGGCACAAGCCAGGTCAGACTCTGGATCTGGCAGTTCTTCCAACTCAAATTCTCCCTCCCCCAATGCTGTAGGTGCAATTCACACCCATTAAAATCAACAATAGTACAGGCATCCCTCAGAGATATTGTAGGTTTGGTTCCAGAATACCACAATAAAGCAAATATTGCAATAAAGCAAGTCACACATTTTTTTCTTGGTTTCCCAGTGCATGTAAAAGTTATGTTTATATGTGGTCTGTTTATACTATACTGTTAAGCCATGTCCCCTCTAGCTGCAGGGGTGGGAGGAGAAAAACTTGGTTCCTAGCCACCTCCACTCCTGTGGCAGGAAGAGGGGCAGTCTCCTGGAAGCAGCTAGGTTGCCTGCAACTACACCCACAGGAGCAATATCTGTGAAGTGCAATAAAGTGAGGTATGCATGTAGATCATTTTGTTCATGCTTAATACCCTAACCCTATTGAATGGGTGGGCTTGTGCCCCTTGGCATAATTTGAAAAGCAAGAGCAGTGAGTCCCTTTCTTACCAGCTTGATTGGCCGCGACAGGAAGAGAGAGAGAATAGGTTGGCCATAGCTACTTTTGGCTCTGGCCCAGTCTACTGCTGGCTTAGAATCTGCTCTCAGTCAGCATATTGTCTGTCCCTGATTCAGAATGTAAGCAGCAAAGCAATCAGTTATGAATGACATTTAAAAGATGGGTTCTTCTGACCAAAGTCTGAATGGAACACACTAGGTCCAGTGACTGTAACTGAAAATGAGATCATTGAGTGATGTAAATCAGTGTTCACTAACAGTTTATGATGAACTGAAGTAATTTTCCACCTGGGATTTTAAAGTAATAGTTGGGAATTTCAGCAATATTTTGACAAGCGAGGCTCCAATATTTATTTGATCTTGTATTTAAAATTTCAAAACAGAGTAAACACATTTTTATCACCACATCATACCAGCTAGGCTGTATTTCTCAATTTATTAGAAACAGCGGTCAGTACATCCTTCTAAAACATTACATGTAAATGTGCTTTATTGCAACCTTTTATTGCATTTTTATTCTAAAGCAAAGTAGGCCAGAATGCTTAGTGTCTGGGATTCCAAAGCTCAACCACCTATTTTAAAAAATAGAAACATACAGTAAGATCATAGCACATTTGGTGACAAGTACAATGTTGCATTACTTATCTAGAAACTACAATATGACTAACATACAATTGTTTTCCTCATGAAGCAGTTTCTTTTTTAAAGTTAAACTACATGAATTTGACTACACCATAAAATGACAGAACAGGTTTTACATACCAACAAGACTACTCAAGTTACATGCTGGAATTTATATTTAAAAAATAACAAAACAAAAACAATCCCCTTTGCTCCATGAGAAGCAACCTTTGACAAATAGCATCCCTTAAAAGAAAAACCAAAATGGATTTCAAGAATATAGTGTTCATGTGCGGGATGTACAGAAGGAGTGCACAGTCCTGGCATACCTCAATACAAAATGAAGCTACCTACTCATTGTTACATGTATTTGTAAAATGAGTCCATACACAGTGATTAATGCTATTATTCTCCTTTGCACATTAGTTCTAGATGGGGTTTTCCCATATTTAAGAACTGCAACTGTTACCGTCTCTCAAAAGGAAATGGGGTTTATATAAAATGCAACCACTTTGCTTTGAATAAACTACAATGCTTTATCTTGAAGCAAATAAGGAAAACACTTTTAAAAAATCAGAAATTTAAAAGCACATCGAGAGTATTAGTGAGGAACCCCACTTTTTTTTGGGGGGGAGAGAACAAAATGATCCAAACTTTCAGATTGTGAGGTGGGTAAAGCAAGTGAAAATTGTGAATTTGGAGTTTCAGCGGGCCAGGGCTAGTTATGGCCAATGCATATTAGATATATGTATTTGAATTTATTTTCCATATATCTATATACATACAGTACACACACACACACACACACACACACACACACACATGTTGCAGACCAGTACAATCCCATGGTGCTGTAAACTGGCAAAAATTAACAGGTTGAGTTAAATTTCTTTGTAGTCAGTCACTGCAAATACCGAACACTCTACACTCCAAGAAAGACAACACACAGCTGGCTGGCATACAAGGGTGCAACACCACTGAACATACTAGGCCTATGATGTGGGAGGAGGAAGCATGTTGACGCTTGAAAATGTCTTTAAATAGCTTTTCTTTACACACTGCAAATGCCTGTCTGAAAATAAAAAAGTGTCCCGAGGGGCTGATTGGAGAAAAGTGCAAGGCTCTCAATGGTTATAGGTAAGATACTAAGCAGTGTGAAACAGAATAAACTTTTAACTATGAGCCATTGCTATATGCAATACTCAACCTCCATGAGCGATAAGACAGGAGTAAGGGATGTTGCTGAAGAATAGTGTATAGTATAAAGGTCTGCATTAAAATTATGGAGCCAGCCAAAAATGCCAGTGCTTGAAACCTAGAAAAGTTAGACTGATTTGCTAAACTTCCACTATTTGTTATTCAATGTTCAGTCAAAACATACTCCAGCCAAGCAAAGCTCTTAGCTCAGGGCTGAGAGTAGATAGGATGTTGAGAGATCCTGTGTATTATTTATAGCCCAATCATACCAGAAGAATAGTGCTTGAGGGACAGTGGGTTTTTAACTCTTCTCCCTGCTGAAAATAAATCATCCCTCATATTTAATATCTGCCCCAAGGGGCTGGGGAGAAAACACAGGCAGCACCCAGTTGTATGTGTTTCCCATAACACACCAAATAGCTTCAGAATGGTGATTTAGCTCATGAAGATGGCACAGGGGGAAAAGCTTCAACCACCACACCCAGAGCTATCTTGGCATGTAGAAACATTGCAACTGTTTGTACAATTTGGCTTAAAAACAGCATTTCGCTTTTAGGCAACTGCCATCTTATGTTAAAGTCACCCTGTAATCCTTAGAGTCAGAGTGGGCTCCATTTACCCCTTCCATGCACGAGCTTTTGGTTGATGGCAAGCAGCAGAAGCAAAATGCCTCTTCCCACATCTCTTTACTGGGGGGTGGGGTGGGGTGAGGTCTAAGAGCAGGTTGTGGGCTTCAGGGAAAAGAATGTGGGGTGCAGTGTCTCATGGACAGGAAGAAGAGGCCAGGGTTGGTCAATACATCTACAGCTAGCAAGGAGAAAGAACAACTAGGGCAGGTTAGGATGGAAAGCACTGCCTTGGTTAGTGCAAGTGTGTGGAGTCAATGACAGGTATTGCCTCCATTGCCTGTGTGACTTTCCCTGTCAACTTGGATGAAGCAAGGGTGCTGTGGTGACAGGGTATAGCTCTCCTGACTTAAGGGGAGTCATGAGACTGTGGTGCAGTGCACATCCTCACATCCCTGAGTCTCCTAAGCAGGCAGGGAAGAGTCGAGTGGTGAGGTGTCACTGTGAAAGAGAAGTGCAGCAGTTGGAGACTGGTTATGGGTCAGCTGCCTGGGTATGGGTCCCAAGAAGTACCTGACCATGTCCACTGCTGATGCCAGCCCTTGGACACATCCTTATTCCATTTCTTTTAAGATGTGCTTCCTATCTCAAAATGCCTTAAAACACCTCAATTCTGGAAAATTATCATTTTCAGGAAATAAAGTAATTCTTATTATAGGGGGGGAAAAACAGAGTTCCTGTCTAAAAGTACAATTGCTGCATATCAGAAAATGGAGGTTTCAATAAGTTAAAACTCCAAGTCTGGCTGCTTTTAAGTGCAAGTATTTTAAAGGGTGAAACAAACTGGATGTAAATGTTTACTTCATGAGCATATTGAAACTTTTCAAGTCATGAAGTATATATTTATGAATTCACATTAAAAAGATAAAAATGGGTAGAAGAAAAACCTTGAGCATACATTATGCCCAGATCTGCATTTATACTCTGTCATCTCACAAAAATTGTCTTACATTTGCATACACACAATACATGTTACCACTTCAGATTTTTATTCCCTGTTAGTGTGAATTAAACCAAAACCAAAAAACTACACATTCAAACAAATATTGTTCAAGTACCAAAGAGGGGGCTTTTGTAGACTTGGAAATATGATAGCCAAACAGGAAAATTGCTATGTGAAGAGAACCCATTAAGTCATTGTACATGTTGTCATGGCTTTCCAAGTGACAACATATTTACAGAACCAAACCACCTCAAGCCCTTAATATGTGTCCTACATGTGTCCAGGTTGGCTTCTACAGTCTATTGTGTGCCTGATCTTAAGAAAGACTGAAGAATTGCTGCTATCCCTATTCCTGAGCTTGTGCAGACCGGGGGTTTGGATGGGGGGGGGGGAAAGAATATATGAGAACTGTGCTTATGTATGGGAAAACCAAACACCTACAGTTATGGTGGGGGGGAGTACTGGAATTAAAGAGATTATGCATACTAATTTATAAGTGAATTCAGTGGCTGGAGGTAGATATAAACTTAAATTTGGGTTGTATGATTGTTTTATGTTGCTTGTGTTGGCTGATCCCCTGCTCCTTTTCATTTTAGGCCATGATCCTAAGAATTGCATCACCAGCTCTACATTTTAACTACAGGAGCTTTTCAAAGTTTGTATCCGGCTAACACCACCACATGCTGCATCAGGTATAATTTCTGAACTCTCCCAAGTTTTAAAAGTGACTTGTTGAGCAAAGAACTGTTGTTTAGTGAAAGGTAATCAAGCAGCTCCAATGTGCACATAAGATCAATCTAGCTCACAGACTAGAAAAGTAACCCAGTGAGGCTGGATTTGTTCCTACATTCATAAGTAGGATATTCAAGATACTGCTTTGTACAACATAGGTACAGAGGAAAAACTATGTTGTAACCTCCTTATGAATTCTTCCCAAAATTTCTCCTTAACAGTGCTGTATTTGTTCTTATGATATGTGACTGGCAAAGAAAATAGCCTCAGAAGTACTAGCAGTTCAATTACTTTTCAATCTTGGCTAATCTATTGTGCACTGCAGCTACTGCAACAGCTACAGAAAAATATGCAGTTTTCTACTTGTGAGAAAGGAAAATATTGAATCCTCCCCACTAAAGCACTTCAGATAAGCTGCATATTAAGAGCCTTTCTCCCCAACCAGTTTACTGCTTAACAAAAAACATTTACATAGTTGGGTCATTGAAATCAGTATAACATCTAGCAGATAAAAAAAATGTTCTAAAAAAAAGTTCTACTAAAACAAGCCTAGCTCATTGGCTTAAAAAAACCAACACATTGAGCTCTTCTCATCTTCCATTTTGTCATTCTCTAGTGCATTTGTAGAAAGACAGCAAGTTATGCTAGGGGGCTGATCTTAACAAAGGTGAACTATGAGAATTTGGAATGCTGCCACTTGAGGTCAGCTAACTGGTGTGAAAAATTAGGCATGAGAACATTAAATCAAGAAATGTTGATGGAAGCTGAATGGTGGTAGAAGAACATTTCTTCTACAAACTTTCATTTGTAAACCGCAAAATGATTTTTCACTTGCAAAGTCCATCCAAAAATGTTCAATGTGAGAGGCATTGCAAGCATGTGAACACCAGCTGGCTGTTATTTATAAGCCAAAAGGAAGCCATGTGTATATGTTTACTTTCCTCAAAATTCTAATCTAAATGTTTCAGAATGTGCCAATTTAAAGGGAAGTAAATCAAGGCACCTTGTGAGATGAAGTACACATAAAGTTAATTGTAAATTTAAAAAAAAATGAACCTAAAGGAAGCATATTGACTGATACTCTGAATACAGTAACAGAAGCCAAAGGATTGTATCCCCAGGGCCATGTTAGTCCTACTTATGAGTAGACCCACTGAAGTCAATGGACATGACAAACTTGGATTCATTTAATTTCAGTGGGTCTTTCTGAGAGGGACTAGCACTGGACTCAGTGACTTCATAGGGGCAAACCCAAATGAAGTTAATGCAAAACAGTGGAGGCTGTGTGGTATGGCCTAAATTGCCAATTAGCTCATTGTTTGGTTATAACATTAAAATGTGAAGATTTATAATTGGTAGTTATGGGAAAACATTCCACTGATTCTGAGTAAGTCAGAACAAGCCTCTGTGGTCTAGGCTAGATTTAATGAAAGAGTAGTATTAAGCAATGTGCAGGTACCAAATTAGAATGTGCAAGCTGGTTAGGCTTCCAGAGGAGGTATAAAATCTCAACCTGATGACTCTGAAAAGTGGCAGAATCCAGTGCCACGCTTAATAAAAGTAGCATATTGCTGCTGGCTAAAGAGGATGTGGGGGTGGACAGGCCTGGGAAGAGAGGGACTGAAGAGATGGTGGCACATTAAGTTATTAACTATCGTCTCACAAATTTAAAGACTACAGGATGGGGTTTTTTTTTACAACCATGGTTCCATTTTTAGAAGATCATGTTCCAGCTGGTTAGCCAGCACTTAGCTTAAGTGGCAGTAGATTAGTGCAAAACAGAAGTGCTTTTGGGACATGTCAAGCAATCTAGTTTAGCCCCTCCAGTTGCTGATTAGTGCTCAAATTTTATCATTTTCCTGTTCAGCAATTTCATATTCTGCATAATACTTCTAAGCTCCCTTATAGTGCATTCTGCTTTGTGTAAACATTAGAATCTAACAGTCTGGGGGTTCAAGGTGGCACTGAAGGTAGGTTGGAGCCAGAAAAGATCCAAATGTCCCAACTCCCTGGCATGTACTTCAAATACTACACAGAAAAAGGAAAGGCTTCATGCTGAATCTACCGATTTGTCCTTGTTGTGTAAGCAAGTGTTCTAGCTCAAATATAATCTTTAGAAATTACAATAAATCAACAAGGGCATACATGTAGTGACAAAAAAAGGTAAATACAGCATTGTCAGAGCACAAATTCTCACAGTCTAGTGGATCCAGTTCTCACTATTTGCTATAATTTCATTATTTGATGTTACATATAATCCAGATGAATCTGATAGCAGATGACCAAGCAAAGCTGTTTAGATACTGATAGATTCTACCACTTTATATCTTTACTAGTCCCATTGAATTCAGCTACCCAAATATTTGTCTTATGGTAAGCCAGCAATGAATTCTAAGGTTATACAACCGGTACAATGGATTTCGTGATTTAGGGTGCAATCCAAATGCATTATAAACACAGTTTTGTAGCCAGTTTCAACAGTATATAGACTGCACCCATAGGGGTTTTTTGTTTTTTTGTTTTTTGGTTTAGCAAGCCATTGAGAAGCAATCCATTGCACTTCTAAAGTTTTTTTTAAAACAACAACAACAACAAATGTTTTTAAAACAGAAAATTCATTGTTTAGCATCTTATAAACATGCCAGGTGCCAGCTTCATTCTGCTTAACATTCCAAAGCTTAGTATTAAAAACAAAATCTGACATCCTTGGAAGAAAGGAACCACATTTTGAAAATAATAAAGGGGGAAGTGGTGCAGTTACATCAGGTCAGGTTAGTTTTCAAAACAACAGAAGACTTTTTAGCTTTTATATTTCTCTCTTCAAGTTTTGGCAAGTGTGATTGCAAATGCAATCTACCCACCCCCCCAAATCCAGCAATGAAAGTAGTTTTGGTGGGTTCAATTTGGTTTCTTTTATTTGAAGACCGGTAAGTACTATTGAAACCAAAGTTTTGCTATGTTGGTAAAATATAAAGCAATATTTCCTTGAGGATATTCTTCTAAATAAGAACCTGAAACTCTCTCCATAATTCCTTTGGTCTCCTCTCACCAAATACCATGCTACATCAAGATGAGCCCTCATGTGTAAGTTTGTCTGACTTGCAGCCAAGCTGCTAAAATTAACAGGGAAGTTTCTGGAGTAGAGACTTTCCCTACATTTTCCTGGAGCTTAAGACTGAAAGACATTACTAATACCTCAGAAAAACAAAATCCAAGTAGAAGTTCCGCTGATGGTGCCTGGCAAAAGTTTTGCTTTTAGTTCTTTCTGTATGCATCTTTAAAGAGATAACTTGTTCCTTTTAGGGAAAATGAGAGAGTCTCCTTATATAAAAACACAGCTGATCTTCAGGTAGCACCAGGGCACCAACCCCAAAGCTATTATTTTGTTGCTGCTAGGTCTCCAATTCACATTCATCAAATCATTTCTTGTGCAAAACAAGCAGTCTTAAGGAGAAAGAATGCCCTCTGGGTTTTAGTAAAAACTGTAGAAAAGAAATCCGAGAACCAACACTTCACCTATACTCCACCCTCCTAGAATTTATCTACAGAGGGAGGGCATCTGTGCGTTGACAGGATAAGCGAGCCGGACATTGAGGGAGTCATTGTGTTGGACAAGGGAGGTATGCTGGTAATGAAGGACTAATTCTTTTAGGGTAGTATAAAGGTTATATGGCTCTGCAAACCCATAACCTCTTGGAGTGCTGTAAATCACACAGTGTTTAACTTCACCATCAGCTCTGTTAAAAAAATAGAAAATTAAAAATTAACATGATAGTATTTTAGAAGGATTACAACAAGTGAGATACTGAAAAGTCATGATAAACATCAATGAACCTTGGATACAACAGTATTCCTGTAATGATTTTCATGTTTAGAATGGCTTGCTGTCTCATGAATGCTTGTCACGGTGCAGTGAAGGCTTTTTAAAAAAGCCTTTCCAGATTGTGACAGAGGTTCCTATTCTACCTAAATATCATCTTCCAAACCCTCTAGAGCTTAGCTTTATACGATATATAACATATTTACAATAAAGAATTTTTTTTGCCAGAGAACCTGCTTTTGGACTTAACTTTCAGTAAATCCATTTAAAAAAAATTAAAGCAGTTCAGGTAAGTGGCATTTAAGGTTCCAGTACTGTTCCTGGGCAGATCCTTATATATACTAACTACAAGGGAGGTATGCTGGTAATGAAGGACTAATATATACTACATTTGACCAGAATACATAGGGCAAACATTCACTCAGTACTAAAGCACATATAATTCTATCACACATGTAAGCAGAATAAATGCCCAACCTGCGAAGCATTTCAAGAACTACAAATTAATGTACATCCTCTAGCTCTTGTAGAAACTTGTTTTGCTTATGTTACAAGAGCAGGAAGATACTAAACAATTTAGCTTACTGACTGCACTAACATTATTGACAAAAGATATGATTGTGGACAATTCCCAACACGTTATTTCCACAACATGGTGCCCTCTAGATGTAACTCCCATCATCGCTGACCATAGTGCATAGTTAAACTATGGAATTTGCTCCACAAGCAGTAGTGATAGCCAGAGGGCTTTAAAAGAGAATTAGACACTAACCACAATGGCTGTGTTCTACCACCAAGGTTGGAGACACAGTATCCCCATGAATGCCAGGGAGAGTTCTGTTGCTACTTTGTCCTGCTTTGGTATCTGTAAGAATAGGGTGGTGAACTAGATGGCCATTGGCCAATCCAGCAGGCTGCTCTTGTATTTGTATGCTTTGTATGTGGAAGGTCCCAAGGTCCCTGGCACTTTCAGGTAGGGCTGGGAGAGAACCCTGTCTGAAATCTTGGAAAGCTACTGCCAGCAGACAATACTGAGGTAGATGTAGTATAAGACAGCTTCCTAAATTCCTATACTAATCCAAACAACCAGAGGGCACCAGGTTGGGGAGGACTGGTTAAGTTGATATGCCACGTTATAACCTAAATGCTAAGAAATGTCTTCATCTTTTAAGAGACCACTGACCCATCTAGACGACTAATGATGAACAGAGACTGAATTAAATTTCTCCCACTCCTGCTACCAAAGCTATTGTAATTGCAGATGTTGAGACACCAGTCCTTTGCACTATTGTATCCATGAAGATATCCCTATTTTTTTCACTAAAATGGTGCATATCTGAGCAAGATCTGGCTGCATGATTTGGAAGCAATAGCAAACCAGAAGAGTAGGCTCTAAGTAGCTGTTCACATGGGCAAATCAAGGCACTCAGTACTTTTCTTGAGTGTATATAATGATGACACTGAAAGCTTAAAAACACTTTAGGATACTTTTATCAAGAGGACTAGGCAAAGAATGCAAATACAAAAGAGTCACATATAGATTATGGCACTGAGGTCTGGTTCTCTTAGTACTGGCTATGCTGTGCCATTTAATTTACCATGTTTACTCGAATCTAATGCTCACCTTTTGGGGGCAAATTACACTGCGAAAATTGAGGTGCGCATTAGATTCAATGGCGCGTTAGACTCAAGTAAATACGGTAGAAAGCTAACCAAGTAAGCGTTCAGTTATCTTTATGTTGCATTCTCCACAGTTCGCGTTAAACCCATTTTAAATTAAGAAAATATAAGGCAAAAAGCTATCCAAGTTATGCAGCCAAATTCTATACAGGGTTATTTTGATGCAAGTCCCACCAAATTTATTAGTCTAATGTGGCTGACTCCCCTGTAAGTGCACACAGAGGACTTGGCCTAAAAGAAATCCAGGGAATCACTACTTACACCACAGAACAAGCATAACAGCCTTTCTTGCTACTTTCTCGAATTAAAAATGCTCCATCAGGTTTCCCACAAAGCAAATCTTCTGCTTGGATGCGATTGATATCTCCCACAAACCAAGATGTTTCATCATAATGTGGCAGATTTTCATCCTCCTCATTTGTAAAGTATGTACTAGGAAGAGACAACAAATCTTATTTTCTTAATGCAGGAATATTTCTGTATTAGGATTACTTGTCCTTGCATGAAGCAATTCATGCAAACACCAACAGAGGCCTAACTCACACTATTTTTATACCACTGTTAATTACTGTGTATATGGGACCAAGCCCTGGAGAAATCAGCAGTAGTTTTATGGTGCATAAGAAAACACTTTCATTGTCTCAGATGCTTACATTTCATCCATGCAAGATAAAATATACTAAGATTTTAAAAAATTAATTTGTACTAGTTATATATCACTAGTAGGATGGATAGAGTTATTTATTTTCTGAATGATTCTTCTGGAACTGTACACCACTAAGAGAAAAATCCTTTGGTGTTATCTGAAAATCTAGATGCATGACCAGATATTGTCTCATGATTAAGAAAAAGTGTACATGGTCGTATGACAGCCACATGCATGTACACCAACACAGAGCTACACACTCCTGTCATGCACTATTTCTATGCACTTTAATCATCCATATTGCAAAATTCAGAGTAGTTGTACAAAAACACTTACTCAATATTTTCGTTTTTTATTCCAAGCCAGTCGTTTATTCGTTTCTGCCTCACTCCTTTATGATTAAGCCAGCTGCCAATGAGAGACAATATACTGTAATACGGTCTAATAGTTAATATAATCTACAAAAAGGACACTTAACAATTCATAACATTCTGAGGCCATAATTGGTCTTCCTATAGCAGTGTCCTTACTGAAAGAATATATCACAACCTGAATTAGAAAAGGCATATACAGTTAGTAGTACTTACTGCATATGGCTGCACATTGTACAACATTTTCAGCCTTTTGGAAAATTGACCTCCTCTATGTAAGATTTTCACTCACATGCCTTCCTTCCCCCTCCTAGCAAGATATGGGATTTGCTCACTGGATATCCCAATTCCATTTAGTGGGTAAGCAGTTAATGCTCAGAAAAGCAGCTTATCTACGAGGGCGCTGGTTAGTTATCTGCTGACTTGGTACACCCAGTGTGGATTCAGTATCGGCTCTATTTCACTTCAAAGCTAACAAGAAAATTCAGCTGGAACCAGAAATGTTCCATACAAGGCATGCTATGGATTAGTTATTATTAAGCCAAGCATTTATTACATGAGTGCTGAAAAGGCTAACCAACTGTTAACATCCTTTCATGTTAAGTGCTCAGCTTCCTTTCATTAATATATTTGGGCCAAATTAGATGAGACACCATTCACACAATCAATAGGAATTGTGTGAATGTTTTTTTGTAAGGTAATTTGAAAGAACATATCCCCCATCTGTGCTTCAAAGTCTGCTTGTAGCTCCAACAGTAGCTGAAGTCAGTTTTAAGAAGCAGGACCTTCTTTGTTTGGGCACCCTGAATATGGAACTCGCTCCCGTTGGAGATGCTGTTGTCCAACATGTTATCTATTCTCAAATGCCAAGTTAAGACATACCTCTCATATCAAACATGAAGGATTTTTATTTTTAGCCTGTTTTATGATGCTTATGCATTTTAATGATTTTATGGTTGTTGAGTATATTTATTGACTAGTTTTTGTACTGTCCTAGAAAACCTTTGGGATGAAAGGCAGGTTATAAATAAAACAAATAAGTGAATAAGTACAGTAGACCTGATCTGCATCTGTACCAGAGTAGGGGTCTTTAATCATTAGGTGACATGAAATGAAAAGCCCAAGCTGGATTGGGACACAAGTGGAGGGTTAAAGCTCCCACCCCCACCAGGGTCTTAATCTAGCTCAGGCCCACTCTATTTACTTCTAAAATGACACCAACACAATTGCTAATTCTGTGAATGACCCTAACCAGAATACTGGAGACTCACAGACTGGCTATTACTTACACAAGGTACTGATCTCTGATTTTGCGCAGCTGCATAAGATCAGGTTTGATACTGTTCATTTTCTTGTCAGTTTCCCGGTTGTCTAGAGCTTGCTTCTTCAAATCCTGTTCCAGTTGCAGCTTACTATCATGGATTTCACCCAGACGTGATTTTAATTTTTCATAATTCATCGCAATGCTGTAAAGAAGTGACTAGTTTTTAAAGGGTAAAAGTTACACACAAAAATAACCACTCTCATCTACAACTAAATAGTACATAGTGACTGTATTGGGCACTGTGGAAGACATTGGCTTCATTCATCACACCTTCAGACTAAAAGTGTATCTACACAAGAGCTTCCTGATCCTGCTTTACAACTTAAGCACTAAACCACAGATGCAGAAAGTCTACCTTGGAATAGCAGTTGTAAGCTGTAGAACAGAACATTCTAGCAAAAGCACCTGGACAATACCACTTCTTCCTCTCTATTATCTAAATATTATTTGGACGGAGACTTTCATGACTAAAATTATGCTAACAGAACATGATTCTTGATCTGAGCTTAACTGAAGAAAAAATGGAAAAGTTTGAGAACTGCTCTACTACCTCTTTCTTATAAGGTATTATACCTCTTCAGTCTCAAAAGTAAGAGACCACATGCATCAGATATGATCCTAGCTGCATCTTATGATCTTCCAGGGATACTCTGCTGCATCTGTCTCCTTCTTCAGAGATAAAGTAGGTGGCCACAGCAGACAGGACCTTTTACATATTGGCACAGAGGTTGCTGAATAAAACAGGGAGGGTGTGCTGCAGAGTCTGCTTTATTTGGACACGAGGGTTTTTAATTTGCCTTTCCTGTGTAGATTCTGCTGGTTTAATATAATATTGCTAGGTTTTTTTAAATTCCATTTGTTGTTTTTATTATGAAAACACTTCTGAAAATTGCACTGTAAGCTGTATTAGAGGCCTTGTTAAGGAGAATAAAAATTTAAATTAATTTTAAAAATGAAGGTAAGTTACCCTATTGTTTATTACAAGCTGCCCAACTACTACCATTTGAACTTCAGAAGTCATTTTGCCTGGATAAGATACCTCACATGAATACTTTTCACAGTTATTAGAAAAAGCATCCACACTATTGTTCATGTTGTTTCATTATCTAACAAATTATTTAATTGAGGATCTATGCTGTTAAGAACACTCTTAAGAATAGCCACCTAAGTCTAGCAAACTGTCTCCAACAGTGATCAACCAGATTTCCATTTAGGTAGCTGCCCTTTCCTAAACCTTTTCCAGCTCTATTAAAATTCTGTCATTCCTTTTTCAGAAGAAGTTGATCTGGAGCTCTTCAGCCTACTTGGGATTGTGCTTCTCGAGTAATTTCAACTCAATCCATGATTTACTAAATTTTAAACATGGAAAAAGTTGCTATCTAAATTCAACAGAACACCTGGTAACATGCAGTCAGTTTCCTTATAAATTTCATACAGTGCGGAAATTGATTACAACAAAGGTGTCTGATCCATAGCACAGTAGTTATGTAACTAAATATGGTGATATAGTGTACAGTGGAGGTCAATGGGAGAAATTATAATTATGGAGAACACAAATACAGTTACTACCTGAGGCCAGGACTGGCAACAGAAGTGGCATTTGGGCAGACCTACCGTTCAATTTCCTTCTCATTTCCTTCTCTTCTGAATCGTTCAATGTATTCTTTGCTATATCGCTCTTGGGTGTGACACTGCTCTTCAAATATTTTAATTGTTTCATTAAAAGCTTCTATTGCTGTTCTCTTCATTTGAATTTCCTGCACAGAAAAACCAATTTCAAAAATCACCATTACTCACCAGAAGCACAAAGCTGTAGAACTATTTGATTATTATTTTTACATAAATCAAAGCAGATAATTTATAGGTCTATATGATTTGATTCAGTATTGAAAAGTATATAATCCAAACACTGAGTGAATTACCAATTTAAAGTAACTAATCTACAAGACCCTCTGGTTAGTCAGATACACCTGCTTTGCCTTCTTTCACCTTGAGAAAAAAGTGACCATGTTGTTGTTGTACAACTTTATTGAGCATTTCACAAAATAAAGCTATTAAAGCAGTTTACAAAACAAAACAAAACAATCCAAGTTCTAAGAACAATATCATTTCAACAAACTCTAAAGATATGCAATTGTTTCATAAATGACTGGTTACACACCTCAGGGAACGCCTTAAACAAAAATGTCTTCAATACATGCCTACACGGTATGCACAAGGCACCTGTCTAATTTTGGCAGGTTACTTGAGAGACTGTCTTATGCCAAACACACCCAGCAGATTGCTGTTGTCTGGGGGAGGGTCCTGCAAGTTTCAGCATCTCAGAAGCCCACTACGCAGTAACTCAGAGAAGAGCTTTTAGTGTTGCTGCCCCTGTTCTGTGGAATAGCATTTCTACTGAGATATGACAGGTGCCCACAATCTACAAACAGTTGAAGACATTTTTGTTCCAACAAGCTTTCCCAGTTGTATTCACAAGTCTTTATCATGAGTCTCTACATGTTAGGGTTTTAATCTTGTTTTAAATGTATTTTTTTACTTTGTGTTTTTAACTGTTTTTAATTATGTTATGTGTAAATCACCCTGAGATGGTGGTTTAAAAGGCTATTAATAAATTAAGTGCAATATTAATAACAGATTCTAAAGAGCTAGAGCTGCAACACTAAAAGTGCAGTTTCTAATACAAACTAAGTGCACCTCTAGGTCATATACACACATCATTTTTTTCTTATGCCACCTTTCCATAGATAAAACCATGCTTAAGGTAGCTTACAACTTGGAAAAAAATGTGTAATTACAAATATAACAAAAATAGCCATTAACAATATCTAAAACTCATCAAAAAGTACACAACCTAATTAACAATTTCCACATTAAATCATAGTAAGATCCACAGTAAGCCCATGGGAAGACCCATAGTGTGTGTGTTGCAGGAATGCAGCCTTGAGGTTAGTAGAGTGGCCAAGCTATCTTCGTCCAGGAAAAGTCATAGGTGTCTTACTAACTGAAGCTGGTAGAAGACACTTCTAGCCTCCAAGGCCACCTATACCTTAAGTGACAAAGATGGATACAGGAGCACTTCCAGATAATATATCTGCTCTTTCAGAGGCAGTGCAACCCCATTCAGAACATGTAACTGACCTATATCCAAGACATGGGGACCACTCACCCACAAGACCTATGCCTTGTCAGAGTTTAAACTCAATTTATTTGCTGCTATCCAACCCACCACTGCAGACGGATACTGGTCCAGCATGCACAGCCACTCCGTCAGATGTTACATAAAAACAGTGGTGTGTTTTATCAGCATACTAATAGCACTTTGCTCCAAATTCCTTAATGCCCACTCCGAAAGGCTTCATACAGATGTTAAAAAGAATTGGGAACATAGATAGGGACCCTGTGGCTATCCAGTTCCCATCACTCCTGTGGATTGGCTATGATGGCTAGGGGCTGGTGGGAACCGGGAGTGCAACAACATGATTACAACTCTGAGTATACAGAATTGGGAGAAACTAGCTCCAATCCTGGTGATCAGCTACAGTGTCAGGATTGAAGCCAGGGCCTCATTTATACAAACCATCTACTCTATCTAATACAGGTACCTGAGAGCACTCATGGATGGATTTCAAGTGCAAAGTTACACACACGCAAGTATATTTATAGGTATGAAGGGGAGACTTGTGGTGATTTTGCTAGTGACCTCTATTCACATGTCCTTTTTTGTTGCTCTGAATCTGCATAACCATGGTTTCAGACATAATTCCTAGCTAGCCAAAGCAGTTTGTACAAGTCACGGACTTGGATCCTGAGACCCATTAAATGCAACAAGACCTTGAGGTTAGTGTTTCAGTAATGACTGCACAAACAGAGACTCAGGAAGAAATATTCTGTGGTAGCATAAGCCTTACACAGTGTATTTACATCATCTTAGAATAGTTTCATACAAACACCAAGGTCCATAATTTATATAACTCTTTGTGCTGATGTTAGAAAAAACCAACACAGAGACCCAGTACATTCAAAATATATTCCAAATAGATGAATCAAATATTCATACACAACACACCATGCCAACTCTTGTCAATGGTGATGGGATACATGCCTCAAAGACTTTCTAGGGTACATTTCAGTTTTTTCCTGTTTGTTTGCAGGCTCATTTGTTTGCAATACTATTTGATTTAATATTTTAGTTTAATTAAATATATATATATATTAGCCACTGCACAGTGTGCAGTTCATTTGATGAAATAATAATTTGTGAGCACAGCTTTAGAAGCAGTAACTATGAGACAGACTGGCTCCTCAAAGTGTCAGCATAAAGAATCAAGCGAGTCTTGCACAAATTATTGTGCAATGCACACCAGCATAATGGCTTACACAAACAGTTCTTTACTCAGAATATTACCCAATTTCTCAGTGCAAACACTTTCCATCAAGTTTGAACTCTGTTTCTGTTAGCGCAAAATGCTTTGCTTTCATGGAAAATTTTGTTAGGAGGTAAGCTGTACTGTTTAAAGACTGGAGGTCCCCCCCCCCCCCCGCCATTTCTCTGCTAGACTACCACTTAGCAGATTCATGATGCTGTGCTGAAATGTTCCACAGCAGAGCATGATCTTCCTGATAGTTTGGCATCCAAGACTATACACTCAAGAATGCCATTCATTCAAAATCTGTAACAGTTCCCTTCTGCAGGACATTGCTCTAGCTATATGTTAGGTGGGAGCAGATTCCTTTTCATATGCTGGCCTCTTAACATACAATGCAGGGGATAAAAAGTAGGTGGGAAGTGTGTATGTGTCATTAGCTTTCCTCCCAGCTACTTTATCTGTGCAACCTCTCCTCCTAGCTGCTTTTGCTCCAGGCTGGCTCCAACACCAGGTTTCTCAGTACTGCGAGCAAAAGAGCACAGATCAAACACTGTTCCCCCCAATTTGGATTGGAGATTTTATATTTGCTGTTAAACTCTAGTTCAGACCCAAGTAACCATGAGAACACAATGCAACAACACACCTGTGATGTTCTGGTGTATTCTTCATATAGTCTGTCATATTCCTTACTTTTCTCTTGATACTGGGTGTGGTACTCCTGAAGCTTTTTGCCCACAGCATCAATATTATCTTCTTTTACCAACTGATCCTGCATACATAAAAAAGAAAATAAGTATACTTTTCTATGAAAGACATTCAAGTGCTGACCTATCTGGAGAACTACCCTTATGGAAACACAAGACAGTCTTAGCCTGAACAACAAAGCCTCTCTATACATCTACCAAGACGTTATCCTTAACTTCTGAACACTGACTATTCCTGTTACTCGGGAAATACGTATAAATGTTTGAGATTGTAGAATTAACAAATTAGTTTTGGGATCTTTTATTTGAGCAAGCACTTGCTTAATCAGCAATATTTCTTTTAGAGAGCATGGTAGGCTTTCAATACTCTAATGTTTCTTCTACAAAAAAAATATTTATACTATTTTGCCTTTGTAAACTTTATAGTTTGGAAGAGATACCAATAATTACAGAAAAAAATAGCAGGCAAAGTTCCAGATACTAAAAAGCAGAGAATCAGTTCATCTTCATTTCTCTTGCAAGATCAGAAGTTTTATGCACATATAGCTTATACAGCCAATGAGAGACTACGACAAGCAGGAATTTAAAGGAGAGTATGCCAAATTAGGGACCAGCTACTTCCTAATATAGTGATGAATGTTACGTGTTCTCATACAAAACCCTGTCTTTACAAAAAAATTTTTTTATTAAAACTCAATAAAAGCACACATTTAACGGTAATACAAATGGTAATACGGGGTTCTTTGAAAATCTCACCTGCTGGTATCTGGATACAGGATACATAAGTTTCACATCTAGTTTAGGGTTATACTGGGCAAGAGACTCATGGTGATAGTGGTTGATCAGTTCCACAACAGAATTGAATGTCAGTGGATCAGAAAAACCGTATTTCCCATCCCGGTGATAAATTTTTATCAATTTATTGTTGCCACCCTTCCTGCAATAGAGAGAATTAAAAAAACAAGCATGTCTTTATGTGCATTCATATTACATACTATAAGCATGCTAAACCAAAAAGTCAAACAAACTCCTGCATAGTTACTCTGCACTACATGTTGTTGACTTTGACTTTGACTTTGTATGCAATACTGTAATTTGAGAGTAATATTCAGTCAAAAAACATCTTAACTGTAGTTGTCACAGGCTTCACTAATTTGTAAAAGGATTAACTAGAATTTCTCCAAAGGAAGTTCAAGAATTACCGTTTTTTAGTACTGAGGAATTGTATAAAGGAATAGTTGACCTTTTAGCACATCATATGGTCCAGTTACTTTGACAGTACTTGTTTCCTACAAAACTTCATGCCTAACAAGCTAGGTGGCCACTAATATACCTCACCAGTTTGTTTGCCATAGCTATTCTTCTGGATTCAGTCTTGCATACACGAGTCTTGCCTACATGTACAAAGGGGCTACTCAGGGTTAGCGAATGTGGTGGCCTCTAGATGTTGCTGAACTACAACCCCCATCCATCCCTCAGCACTGACCATGATGTTTGCACTGATGGGAGTGCAACAATATCTGAAAGGCACCATGTTGGCTATCTGTGGTTACTCAGGTACACAACAATGTTGGTACTTAACACTAAATCATGGTTAGTACTATGTGAATGAGCTGGAGTGAAATGCTGGGCCCCACATCCCCCCTATGAAGTTGAGGGAAGACTTCAGCAGTGTTTACATTCACTTTCAGGGAGTCCTGGCTTGTTATGTTTAAACCCAGAATCCTGATATAAAACTAACTCTCGTAAATTCCATAATCAGCCACCTTTAAGTAAAAACATGTGTTACAAAGCTGACTTGTAAAACTAAGCAGAATTTCTTTTAAGCCAGGTTACCCAATTCAAATGTTATAACCAGTGAAGATTCCCTGTAAGTGAAATGAAACTCATATAGTCTCCAGACTATGCATAAGTATGTGAGCCGAATGCATTACTTGGGCTCATTCACACATCATTAAACCAAACTTTTGCATTTGTGCAATGTGGTCACCATTTACCCTAAGTTTCTATGCAGAATGAGTCCAGGAACAAGCCTTGGGCTCGTGCACTCCCTCCATAGACACTTTCACAGCAGAAATATGTATTAATAAAAAGAGGCAGCCTACATTTACTTAATGATAAATGCCATTAATTTCTGCTGAGAAAAATAAAGCACTATGTTTGGGGACAACATTGTAGGGAAGCTAAAACCTACCTATCACTCCCAATACCAAACATACACAGCCATTAAGAATTCCATCAGAAAGCAAGACTAGGCTTGTTGGGGAGAGGAAGTTTATGATATCCCATCTCCCATCTAATTAGGAGGCAAGTACAAGCAGGACAACATTTTTAATCCTTCCAGTTTGGGATAAGTGGAAAGTGTTCCTTACTTCTACCTATATTAACTTTGGGAGGAGGATTAAGATTTGACATGGCAGAAGCAACAGTCTTAAGTGATGGGTGGCTTTATGAGAGAAGTAAAGGGAGACGAACTGGGGAAAGGGTTGAGATTCTCCATCCCTCCCTTTCCCATCTTTTAGCCATTGGTGAAATTACAGCATATGGGGAAGGCTATATACACTTTGTACTAAGACATTCCAAATGTCCTGCAAAGGAAAGACAAATTCCTCAAAAAGAGGGGTTGAGATCCTTAGTCTGCTTATTTTATGCTGCCTTCAGAATTGAAATACTCAAGTTTTTTTTAGCAAGAACTGGGGACAGGAGAGGAGAGAACAAGAAAAAAATGCGAAGAGCTACAGAGAAGTTGTCGGGTTCAACAAAGAGCTGTGCAAGATCCTGAAGCCACATTACCCTTGCCCACTCTATTCTACCTTCACAGACGGAAGCCTCTCTATTGTCAAAAAAGCTAGAACAAGAGTAGCCAACATGGTGCCTCCAGATGTTGTGAACTACAAATTCCCAGCAGCCCCAACCAGCATAGCCAATGGTCGGGGAGATGGGAATTGTAGCCCCAAATATATGGAGAGCTACCCCTAAACACAAAATTGGTTTTAAACAGAAAAAGCTAATAATTCTCATGATGCCAAAGTCCACTACAGATTGCAAATTATTTGATGCAACATAAAGCTGTTCATTCTGCGTTCTTTTTGTATAGCCTAGCAGAAAATGTAAACAAAGTTCCAAGATAATGAAAACATGGTGCTTGTATTTACACTAGCTACAAACACCTAGACAAATTTATCAGCAGGTACTACCTACAATTTGTGCAGGACAATAGAGAGGGCAAAGACAAAATTATTTACCGCAGTGTCAGTGTATAGTCTCCTTGTTTCTTTGTTGATGCATCCCGCACCAGGAATGTTCCATCCGGCATGTCTCGTAATTTGTCATTTACCTCTTCCCTGGAATAACAAAATGTAGATCAAAGTATTACTCATTCATAACAGCACCACTCATTGTTACAAGTGTGTGTGGTGTGTGTGGGGGGTTCCTTTACTTTGGTTCTGAAATTATTTTTCTTTAAAATTGTCTCATTCCAGTTTTATGTTGACCAATACATAGTATTTGTAATCTGTCTTAAGAATTTTCAAAGGTAAATTTGAACTTTTAGAATCTGGAAGCAGCTGCACCTGAAGCCTCATTCTTAAATGGAGGCCAATAGTTGAGCACCAACACTTAACTGTATCTGATTAAATAAAGAAAGGGCTGCTTCATACTGCCCTAATGTCCTATAGAGAAGTTGTATTTCATTTATTTTATAACAAGATAGTAATTGTTTATTATAAACAATTAAAATTTATTGGTTTACAAGTAAGTAGAAACTTTATACTGCCTAGGATGATATTCAAAATAAGACTAGAGGTTTATTATTTATCTAGAGACAGGAGAGCAACTGTGAAATTAAGGATTTCTGTTTGGCTCTCTGTACATATCCAAAGGCACCATGAAAGATCACTTATTCAAAGACTGATAACTTTCTAAAAGCAATGCTTGGCAGTTACTGAGCAGAAGAATTTCTTTCATGAGATAAAAAATTTGCTGCTTTGCTAGCAGAGTCAAAATATTTGTAATTTGCACAATACATGCCCTGAGTATCATATTTATAATGTTTGTTCTCAAAAGTGCCATTTTTATCCCTGGTTTCTCCTTTTACATAGAAAAGAGGTTGTTAAACTGAAATGTGTTAGACAGGTGGTCATGGATTCAATATGAAAAGATAATTTCATGGATTCAATATGAAAAGTTAATTAAACTCAGGTTTCCTTTTATTTGTGACACTTAATATAAATGGTTTTATTTTAAAATTGCCAAATTGTTCAGGGTGGTTAAAACAAAAAGGGACAGTGAAGAGCTTCAAAAGGATCTCTCTGCAGTGAGTAAACAGGCAGTGAAATAGCAGATGCAGTTCATTATGAGCAAGTTTAAAATGGTACACATTGGGACCATATTTTACATATATGCCAATGGGATATGAGCTACCAGTGACTGATGAGGAATGAGACCTTGGCATCATAGTGGACAATACTGATCCAGTGTGAGGCAGCCATGCTAGGGATCATTAGGAAAAGTATTGAAAATAAAATTGCCAATATTGTAATGCCATTATACAAATCTTTGGTGTGATCACAGTTGGAATGATGTGTACCAGTTCTGGTCACCTCATCTCAAAAAGGCTGTAGTAGAGCTGGAAAAGTTTGTGAAAAGGGCTACCAAATTGATGAAGCAGATGGAGCGACTCTAGTATGAGGAAAGGTTACAACACCTGGGGCTTTTTGGTTCATATAAAAGACAAGTATGAGCAGACATGATAGAGGAGTGGAGAAAGTATCTCTCTCTCTCATAACACTAGAACTTGGGCACATCCAACAATTCTTAATTAACACAGTGCATAGAAAAAATCATATAGAAATCATTCTCATAAGTTGTGGTCAATTTAGATGGCTTTAGAGGATGATTAGACAAATTCATGGAATATAAGTCTATCAATGGCTACTAGTTAGGATGGTTAGGGTCTACTCTTGTAGGCAGTATGCATCTGAATAGCAGAGGTGAGCAGAGTGCTATTGTGCTCACATTCTGCTTGCAGGCTCCTCATGAGCATCTGGTTGGCCACCATGAGAACTAGATGTTGGCTATTATTTGGTCTGATCCAGCAGGCTTTTCTTATGTTCTTAACCCCGGCCTCATAGTGAAAATATTACAGATTTCTTAACTGTTTTAAAATGGTGACAGCACAGTTTAGAAAATGATATACAGTGGTGCCTCGCAAGACGAAATTAATCCGTTCCGCGAGAGTCTTCATCTAGCGGTTTTTTCGTCTTGCGAAGCAACCCTATTAGCGGCTTAACGGATTAGCGCTATTAGCGGTTTAGCGGCTATTAAAGGCTTAAAGGCTTAGCGGATTAGCTGCTAAAAGGCTATTAAAGGCTATTAAAGGCTTAGCAGATTAGATAAAGGGGGGAAAAGCAAAAAAATCTCAAGACTTGCAAGACATTTTCGTCTTGCGAAGCAAGCCCATAGGGAAATTCGTCCTGCGAAGCAACTCAAAAACGGAAAACCCTTTCGTCTAGCGGGTTTTCCGTCTTGCGAGGCATTCGTCTTGCGGGGCACCACTGTATGTGCACTAAATTTAAGATTAATCCGTTCACAATGTTACCTGAATAATAATAATACATTTTAATATGTACATACAAAGCAGGGGCATAGAAACATTGGCCCAGATGTGACTCCTAGGGCCTCTGGATCCTGCCTGCATTGCCCCCACCTCACTCTGTCCCTTTCCCACTGCAATTATGTGTAAAATGGCTTTATTCAGGGACTTTTCCTTCCATGTGTGATGCAGCCCTCCACACATCACAATCAAGCTTCAAAAATGCCTTCTATTGGAGCAATTAAAAGTCTATTTTTGTCGAAAAGTGGATTGTAGAGGGCGTATGTGGGACATTCTTCCCAGAAAGTGCAGCTGAAGAAGAACTTTCCTTCTCTCTCCAATACCCCCCACAAAAAAATAAAGCTTCAATAAAGTTAACATGATGCACATATAAGATTGTGGGTATGGTATGTGGGGTATGCATGTGATTTGCATGTGGGGAAGGCATGCAGCCTCCAGGAGGCTGGTGAAGAGGATACCTACAGCCCTTAGGCTGAGAAATGTACCCAACCTATGATATAAAGGAAAGCTGAAAGTAAGCCACATTCTCCTCCAGGAAAAAAAAAATCTTACCTTGAAATATCTCCCCAGTACCATTCGGCATCCTGCAGTGATGAACTGCAATTCTCTTTTATCCCACTTGTGTTTACTGGAGTTATTGGTTTGGAGGGCTTTGGAGGAAGAGCTGGAAGAGAGATTTTGTTGGTTTACTTTTTTGGCTTTATAATGATATCTCAAAATATTAAATAAGGGATTCAATCAGGAAATAATACATTTTAGGTAAAGCATTGTATGGCACTAAAGACCTGTGAGAACTGGAGAGAAAGAAAAGGAAAGTGATAGAAATCCCTTTTCATCTGAGATTGTGGTACTAAAACAGAAAATTCAGTTTTTAAAAAATGTCTGGTTTAAATGAAAGATGATTTGGCAAGGAATAATAAATTACTCAAAATATTTTTCTATTTACTTCTACAATGCCTACCACACTAAAGTAGTTAAGATGATTCACTGACTTCTGTTTCAAAGGCTACTTTTAAGTGCCCTAAGTACAGTAGTTCCCTGTTCTTGCACTTGCTGAATCAAGCCAATTTAAATTACACTGAACTTTAACCTAGTCATTCAAACTCTGAGTTGCTGATCAAGCATCAGATTCAGTTGGCAGCATACAAAACAGCCGGATTCCAGGATAGAGGTTTTTTTTTTTGCTATATCCTCCTCAAATTGCGCACGTTCACATTTCTCACATCGATAGCCCACCTTTCTTCCATCATGGAACCACAAGGAGCCAGTGCCCAATGCCAGACCGATTACAGAGTTTTTGGTTTTGTTTGCTTATGTGGGTTGGACGCCATAAAATTTAAACCACACCTAGAACAGATTTTGGAATTTTTATTTTTTTAAAAGCATGAAAAGAGTTATGGATTGGGCCATCTGTTGGACACCTGCAGGACACTGGTCTTGCAGAAGGCACTGTAAATTCGGGCACCAGTCACAGTTCTGCCTTCAGTGACAATACAATACTTGAGCCCAGCACCATGAGAGAGTGGGGCTGATGGAAAGTAACACATTTTGTTGCTTGGCAACAATTCTGAAGTTGACTGTGAAGTTCTTCGGGAACACATCCTACTTTTTTCAAACTACAACAACATACTTCCATGTTCTATATCCAGAGAAGACTGGCCCTCCAGATATATAAGGAGAATAGTACATAATCCAAATTCCAGCCCTTGACCCTAGGACTGGCCATGCTCTAATCTATTTTACTGAAAATTAGCCTAAGGCTATGCTTGCAAAGACCAGGGCATTTTTGGATTGGCTTTATATGTCTGTATAGCCACGCTGGCAATTTATGTTGCAATGCAGTTCCATGCCATAAAAGCCACTGGACTACTGACAAAGTGTCAGGACTTCAATTTGTGTCAAAGTACTATGATGCTAAATAACCAAATATTGTTTCTTCATTGGTAAAAAAGTATCAATCCACATTTTTTGCAACATACTGTTCAGTTTTCTAAAGGCCTATTCTTTCTCAACACTGTGGAAAAACAGTGTGCAGGAAGAATATTTTAATGAATTATCTACTGGACTTAGCAACATCCTCAAATTAAAACATTGCCTGTTACTACACTACAGACTTGAGACTGCAAGTGAAAAAAAGTATCAAGATTAAGAATCATTCTTCAAGTTTACTTGAGATTTTTTAAGAACTTCAGAGATATCAGATTGTATCAACAAAAGGATAACAGACTGCTTCACACATATATATTAAGAACATATATCACATGCATATAATTATGAAGGTGCTATCTTGCTTGAAGAGGTTGCACATGTGTGTTCTCCTGAAAGGCTAGAGCAAATCTACAAATCCCTGTGTCTGAAACTGCTGCTATTATCCTGGTGGAGAACCTATGCTGGGAGCTACACATAGAGACTAAAACCTTTTAATTCTCTTGGATCTATATGCCATTTTTGATAATCAAGAAAGATGGTATGGATGATATCGTCTACTGAGGATGCATGATAGGAGTATTGCATCTTGGTTCCACTCTTGGTTGGGTAGACCTCAGAAGGTAGCGCTTGGGTCAGGACCCCTGCCCTTTAGTTGCACTAGGGCAGGGCTGGCCAATATGGTGTCCTCCAGATGCAGTTACACAGCAGATTGCGTCATCCCTGATCCCTGGACCTGCTGGCTGGGGCTGATTGTGGTTGTAGTCTAATAACATCTAGAGGACACCACATTGGCTAGACCTATGCTAGGGAGTGCTGTATGGTTTAGCCTTGTTCCCCATACCCTTTAAATATATATTCAGAACTACTGAAGAGTTTATCAAAGGATTTGGAGTTGAGCTTATCAGTATGCCAATGTCACTCAGTTCTATTCCTCCTTTTCCAGAAAAACAAGGTGAGCTGGTTGAGTGGATTCCTGGCATCTGTAATGGACTGAATAATGATTAATAAACTGAAGCCAAATCTAAACAAGGCAGATGTTGAGAATGGGAGGTATGACTGATCTAGAAGCTGGTGACTTTCCTGTGCTGGACAGTGGTCCTATGTGGGTGGGTGTGTCTCCCCAGCCGCAAGTCAGGGCTTAGAAGGCACCCTAAGCCAGCACAAGATTGTTAAACACCAAGGGCCAAAGCTTACTCTCTCAGTGCTACTCTTTGGGCAAAACTCTGCAGATAGTAAGGAAGCCACCTTAATAAGAGTTCTAGCAAAAGCCAGAACATTCAACATATAGCAACCAACCAACCAGTACACAAAGAAAGAAAACTACACAGGGGAAGGCAGAGGAAAGGAGGGGAGAGAGAAAAGATCATGAGAGAATGAGAGAAGGTAAATCTCAGGCAGCCTATTCTGCCTCTCACCTGGGGTACTATAACCCCAATACTACCTATCATTTAGTGGTGCTGACACCCACTAGATTGACTTATTCTGACAATACATGGGGGGGGGACCATTCATATAGAGGGGGGGAGACAGAGAGAGTCATCCAACAGTCAGCACAAATACAATCAGCACCCTAACAGAGCACCCCTGAATCCACCCTGAGAGTCTTACACCCATTTTATCATCTGAGGGGCCAGTTCAGTTTTAGAGTTATTAAATTTGTCAGTGAGATTTAGTCTTTGTTACACATAGGTCAGCTTGCAAATATTTATTTATTCACTATTAAAAGAATTTATATATTGCTATTCACACTGTCTTGCCAGAGTGGTGCATGCTTTGGTTATCTCCCACTTGGACTATTGCAATGCGCTCTATGTGGGGCTACCTTTGAAGGTGACCCAGAAACTACAACCAATCCAGAATGCGGCAGCTAGACTGGTGACTGGGGGCGGCCGCCAAGACCACATAGCACCAGTCTTGAAAGACCTACATTGGCTCCCAGTACGTTTCCGAGCACAATTCAAAGTGTTGGTGTTGACCTTTAAAGCCCTAAACGGCCCCGGCCCAGTATACCTGAAGGAGCGTCTCCACCCCCATCGTTCTGCCTGGACGCTGAGGTCCAGCACCAAGGGCCTTCTGACGGTTCCCTCACTGCAAGAAGCAAAGCTACAGGGAACCAGGCAGAGGGCCTTCTCAGTAGTGGTGCCCGCCCTGTGGAACGCCCTCCCATCAGATGTCAAAGAGATAAACAACTACCTTACATTTAGAAGACATCTGAAGGCAGCCCTGTTCAGGGAAGTTTTTAATGTATGACATTTTAATGTATTTTTAATCTTTGTTGGAAGCCGCCCAGAGTGGCTGGGGAGGCCCAGCCAGATGGGCGGGGTATAAATAAATAAATAAAATAATTCATTTCAAGAATAGCAAAAGTGGACCCTGCATTGCACCTCAGGACAGAATGCCAGCATAGGAGCTGGAGGGCAGGCTGTGTGACACCCAGCTCTGTCTTTCAACACTTTGCTGCCATTTCCTGCCCCTGCTGCCTGGGGGTAAGTATTTCATTCTGCCTGAGGATGAGACTGGCTGTGTACGGCCCATCCCCTCCACATGTTTGAGAGTCCTTCCCGAGTTCTCGGCAGTTTGTGAATAACTCAGGAGTGGACCTGTGTGCAGCTGTGCATTTTCAGAAGGCCAGGTACACCTGCCAAACAGTTAATCTGTGGGTGTACACACACATATGGAGAGGAGAGTGTCAGACCTTTTGGAGGATCAATCCATGCTGCTCTTGCAATGCTGCATTTCCGCTAGATGCACAAGCTAAACAGAAGGCAACCAAAGGCTTTCTGCTCCACTTCACAGAGCACCTAGCAACTCAGGCTTATTTGTGCAGTTTATGCGCACCCAGAAACTCGAATAAGATATTTGTGTACAAGCCTGATGTGCTAAGTACTCCATGTGGAAGAATGGAAAGATGGCCTAAATGACAAGCAGCACACAAATAAGGGTGTTAGTTCAGTCAATCTCTCTTACTCCACACTGTCTGACTTGGACATTACAGATATCTGGACTGTGACGCAAGTTATTTCTTAATTTAAAATATTTATATCTTACCTTTCTACAATTGCTTAAGGCCACTGACAACTTCAATTTAAAACCATTTCATTCAAAGTAAACATCAAAACCAAATCAAATTCCTCCCCCCATCTAATATTCCCAAACAAATGGGACTTGCATCTAAAGGCAAGGAAGGAAGAAAAATGATATGTGGTGGTGGTGTGTTCGTTCATTCCAAAAAGCTGGTGCAGCCCAAATAACACTCTGCTTACCATTAACAAATAACCTCCCTGGTAGGAGAGCAACAGGGAAGTTCTCAATGAAGATCTTAAAAAGTTAGTGGGCTCTAATGGGGAGTGGTCTTTTTCAAGTCCAGTTGCTGCAGGGTGAGCTTGAGGAGTTTGCAGCTGGGGAAGACAGAGTTAATCCTTCCCTTTCCAGGTGCACCCTTTAGGAAAATCACACATGCAACAATTAGGCAGTTAACCCTTCTTTCTCCAGCTGCAACCAATAATGGCAAATACATTTATAAATACATACATTCAAAAATCAACATATGAAATTGGGCCAAGAACTTCAACAGCAGCAGTGCAACTGGCAAAGTACAGTCAATTATGTTTCCATCTGCCATCCCCCACAAACAGGCAGGCATATGATATTCTGCACTAACTGCAGTACAGTATTTGAATAGTCTTCAGCAACCCCACTTATGGCACACAGCAGTAGTGAATCCTGGAAATTACAAAGGTATAGATAAACTTGGTGCAAGTTCTCTACCTCCACTAAAAAAGGATAACAACAGCATATCAGATGCAACTGGGGGTGGTTGGAAAGGACACTGCTTTTCCATGGGAAGAAATAGATTCAAGATGCATACCTGCTCCAATAAAGCAACAAATATACTACTGATAATAGGTACACTTCACACTCTCAGAGCCTCAAGCCTCCCAGTCAACATAATCTCCACCTTGTCTTGATTCAGCTTCTGCTTAACTGTCATCTACCTTAGGAGAGCTTCCACCAACCAATTCAGAGAAGTTGCTTAAAGAAAAATAAAGCTTGATGTAGTGACAGAAGTATATTGATTATACCTAACCACAAAGCTCTGCATTATCTCTCCTGGTGGCTTTATAGTTATATTAAGTAATATAGGTAATAAAACTGATGCCAGTGGAACCCACTATTACATCTCCCAGAGGATGGGCTGGCTAACCACCATCTGGGATTGTTCTAACAAAATGACACAGAGTGAAATCAGTGAGATGCCAACATCTACTAGATGTTCCAGATGATGCAGTAAGATACTATTGGTCCACAATAACAAATGCTGCTGAAAATCAGAAGGGAAGCATTCCCTATATCTCCAAATTAAAATGTCCCACCAGGGCACCTAAAAGTACATCCCTATTTTGTTGAACAGAAAACAAACATATTGAACCAAAGTGCAAACTACACATCATGGGACTCTGAAATATTTGCCTATACTTAAAAAAAAAATCCCAAACAGACTGGGTAGTCTACATGGACAGTTAGTCACAAGGTCACTGCTTCACCCTCCTGCCCAAGATCTTGTCTAGCTCAGAATTACCTCCCCCAAATTGCCATTTTACTGGAAGTAGGAAATACAAGGAGCACACATTTTTGCTTTGTCGTATTCCTATTTTTCTCTAAGCTCTACAGGATATTCTAGGTTTTTTTTTTAAAAAAATAAAAGCTTGTGTTAATTTAATGGTTTTAAATCCCCTCCCCACTGGCCATTGTTGCCATGCAGCAGTAGCACATTTCCCGAAGAAACAAATTGAGATGAAGCTTCCTACCCAAACATTCTTCTATATTGCCAGACTGGTGCCCGTGGTCCCTGCCTTTGGATGCGGTGGAGGCTGAGGAATCCAGCTAGTCTCTATGGCACAAAAAGAGTGCTGGAGAGCAGCTTCCTGCAGTCCTTGGTTTTTCTTACTGAACTGGCACAGAGGGAGTAAACCGCAGGGAGTGATAAAAGGCTCCAACAGTTCTGAGGCTAGAAAGCCCTCTTTGCTCTTGCCTCTCTCTCTTTTCAGGACTCCATAAAAGCCTGTCCACTGTCCCAGGCTGGAAACAGCAGGGACTGGCAGGAAGTTTCTGCCACTCAGAAAAAGCCTTTTACCCCTGGTGGTGGACCCAAACCAGTGCTGAATGCCTTCCTACCTACAAGGGCAGAAAGAAGACCAATCCTAAATATCAAGAACTTAAAGAGACATTAGACAAAATGAGGCAAAGTAAGACTTATTTTGTATATTGGGGGTGGGAGGAACCTCAAAACCTCCTCCTTTTTTTGGTGGTCTGCACACCACAAAGCAAGGAGGTGGGGAATACCACAGGGAAAGAATGAGAAATGATTCTGCACTTGAAAAATACTTGTTTATAAAGGAATGTATCTTGTTGAAAATGAGTGGGAAACTGCTCTAGGAACTGGTTGCAAAAGGCTTATATTTTCTTAACATTAAAATATCTTAATTTATTTGCTACATTGAAAGCTCTCTTAAAATCACTGGTACTATTCATGCAGAGATGGAACAGTCCCATGAAGGTACCTCAAGACTGGCACTAGGTCCTCACATTTATAAGGCATTTGTACCTTTTGATATTATTTGTACAGCGAATATAACACAATAGCTTCTATGGTCAATCAGCATCTGCTTGGTAAATTAGTATCCATTTGGAACGAAGCTGCAATATAAAAATGCAAATCCTTCATCCTATAAAGCACAATTGGTGAAGTATTTAATTTTCTGATTTAACAAGTCACTTTGGTCACTTGCAGGAACTATCCACACCTGTTTCAACAGTACTAGCATAATAGTAAATTACAGAATTAAGTGACAGTATTAAAACAGTGCTAGAGATGTAGGAGCATAACGGTTGATTTTTTATTTAGTATTGGTTTTATAGGCTGCCTTTTGGGATATAATGCACACAAGGTGGTTTATAGTATAAATAAAATACAAAAAGGAAATTCAAACAATTCCAAAATAACATTATGTAAGGATGTACATAGGCACATGGACTTTAGAATAAGCTCCCAAATTTAATTTTACAGCCACCAAGCATAACATAATTTAATGTGTTACTGTGGAGAGGGGAATAAAATGATAAAGACTTAAAACAGTCCACTATGAAAATGAGGATTTCCCCATGTTTCACTGAAGCAATACAACAGCTACCAAATCACCTAGAAAACTTAGTGTTGAATTGCACTAACAAATTAAAGGGCACCTTTTACTCCTCTAAGTTATTTTCTGCCTCTTGTGTGCTCTTGATAGAATCCTAGAAAACCCAGCTTTCATTTTTCAAAATATTGCTTTTAGCCTTTTCCTCCATAAAATTATGTTTGATATTCAATATTTCATTGTCAAGCAAGTTGCACTTCCCCTGAATTACCCCAAACCATATTTATGCAAAAAGAAAAGAAAATCCTGATTTCGCAGAAGGCTCAGATTTTATTTGTTCACTGAAGCAGAAACAGCTACTAATGGCAGTTCAAAAAACTATGTTTAGCCATTTCCTCAAGATTAAAAAGTGAGTGAATCAACAAAACCTTTCTTCTGTATTTGTACATAAGCATGATCAGATCTAGACTTCAATAGCTAGCTGGTATGCACTGCTAAGTTACACAATTTCTCACAAAGGCAAAGATAAACACCATTTCTCACAGTGGAATGGTTTCTCGAAAGCCTGCTTATTAGTAACCCTACTCCCACTCTAAGCCAGCATCACCGACCAACCTGCATTCAGAATTCAGCTAACTCTGATTGGGATTTGAGAAACTGGACTCTGAAAGGAAATAGCACTTCAGCCAATGAAAGCACAGTACTGAGATCATACGTTGGTGACGTCAGTACATAGACTGTATCTGTGGAGTTTCTAGCAGGTACTTTCAGTATAGCTGCTCAGCTTTTGCAAATGATTTTCCTTTTCTGCTTTACAAAATTCCAAACCTCTCTCTGTGTGAAGACATTTTATGTCTCAAAATACACTACAAATTGAAGCTTCAGAGTCATGTGTAAGGCAATGAAAAGAAAAAGACATGACTCATCCATAACAAGACAGTGGAAGCAATTCAGTTACCTTCTTTCTAATGCAATTTACATTATTTTCAACAGTTAAGACTCCAAAATCCACTGTTGGGCAATACTTTTTATTAGGACCAACAAAAATCTCACAGAATAATTTTCCAGAAGTTCTCTTATCTGTCAGGTTTGCTATTATATAAGGCAGGGGATAAGAAAGACCGGGGCAGTGGAATTTAAAAATAAATATGAAACTTAAGGTGGATATTTTAGCTCCAATATAACTCTACAATTCTATGATCCTATGATTCTGTAAAATGGCGATTACTTGCAGCTAGGTACCGCAGGTATCAGGTTACACCTAGAATTCTGAGATACACAGGCAATGGCTGATCCCCATTTCTGGAAACATAAAGCCTGGCTGTTATTCAGATCTTTTTCATAGCATAAGCAAAACACACGGGAACTGAAAGCATTTGTGCAGTATTACATCAAATGACTATTTCTTGTTTAGCCAGCATGTCTGATTGTAGTATTTGATTACAATATAAAAAAGGGTCCAGTTAATTTAACTTAATATATGCATTTTTCTTGGAGCAGATTCTTAAAGCACTGGCACAGCAAGCCTCCTTAACTCAAGAAATATCTATTTGGGCTTCTAACTGTACCAGGCATGGCTATGCTACATCTAAGACCTTATCTCACTTAATGTGGTGTTATTGGTTGTGGATCTCTGGAAAACATTGTGCAACAATTCACAGTGGTGTTTTGTTATGTCCATTTCTGCCTCCTCCCACTTGTTCCCAAACTAACAGTATTAGTTTCAGATTTGAATTCATGCCCTGAGACCTTCGGGTATAGGGCGGTATAGAAATTAAATAAATAAATAAAAATTTTGAGAACTGCCCTAATACATTAGAATGGTACAAGAAAGCTCCCAAGGTGGTGAAAACTTTACTATCTCCCATATTACTTGTCAGTTTTGTGCCTAGATGGTTCTTTAAATGCAAAGACAAGAGGTTCTGTAGTATCTGAAGTAGTACCGGTAATTTATTACAGTACATTTCATAAGCTAGGGTCTGTATCACTAAATGCAATTATCTGCAGAAAAGAAATATGCTTGCAGCCTTGCTTTAGAACATCTGCAAGATGAAAAAACATTAGACCATTTATTATGAAAACTATCAGTTTGGTATCTCTTCTGATCATATCTGAGTAAGTACACAGGATTCAGTAGTACTAAAGCACTGACCAGCAACTGTACACATGCCTTCTCAACCTTTATCAAGCAGCATAGTCTAAAAGCACCGTGACATCATGAAGCAGTCGTCGCAGCAAGACCCAAGGATGATTTTCCTGGGGTGCTGAATAGCTGAGGCTCCTTTAGAAGAAGATTTTGCATAATATAAAGGTTAGATGGACTGAGCAGATTAGATCAAAGATTTTTTTTGAAGCAGGATGTAGCTTTAAGATGAATATGTGTGAACAGAAATATAATTTGCCCCTTGGAACAAGCATATTCAAATCCCAGTTTAATTTTGTACATGCATCCAAACATGGCAACTTCAATGGTTTTATGTACAATGGTACCTCCGGCTGCGGAAGGGATTCATTCTGGAGGTTCAGTTGGATCCCAAGGTTTCCGCAACCTGAGGACCGCTTCTGTGCATGCGTGTGGGGCAAAACCCGGTCAAATACTTCCGGGTTTGCCGCTTTCGCATCCTGAAGTTTATGTAACCAGAGGGTTACGTAACCGGAGGTACTATTGTAATTCCTTTTCTTGCACCCTAAATCCTGCACTCCAAAACCAAGACTCATGCCAGGTAGTAATGCTAAGTTGACGGAGACATCTCACCCTGAATGTCTACAGCTGTTTCAGTAGGAAGTATTAACTAATAATAATTCTGTGTTAAGATCCAAAAAATGGGGACTCAGACCACTACCCACATGTTCTTCCCATTTTAAGAAGGAGCAGTTCTTCTCTAGAAGAATCGAAAATGTAATGTTTAATTTGGGCTAACAATATGTGCTGTAGCTTTGTTAATCTCTAGTAATAAAACTCAACAAAACTGAATTGAAGGAATTATAGCTTTTAAAAAAAGGTGACAGGTCTTCGGTACTTCATCCCAGTAATTAGCTTGGCCACATCATTTGCTTGCCCACATCATTTTGCATAGGCTTGCCGAGGAATTCCTATGCAGCTTGGATTTTCCCATCATATCCCAAATAGTCAAAATCTTACCATTTATTATTTTCTAGGGTTTAGGGGGGGGGTCCAACCTATACCAATATTTACAACATAAGTAACCATGTTTCCAAGAGGGCCAAAGTGCTGTGTGCTTTATATGCTTTTAAAATGTGTGTGGAGGAAGATTATTGGGTTGTTGTTTTTATTTTGATTATGTATTTTGTGATTTTATATTTTGATTTTATTCTGTGAACCGACCTGAGACCTCTGGGTCTAGGGTGGTATATAAATTCTAATAAGAATAATAATAAAATCAGCAGCAGCAGCAGCAGCCCAAACCACTCAGGAAGTAAGACTCACAGGTACATTCTAGCTGTAATCATGTGCAACTAGCCTTGGTGTATCTCCCATCAAAAGACACAACCAGCCAGTTCAATAAGAACAACATAAAACAGGCAAATCCCCTTGCTAGATCTGTGTGAATGCATTAGGGGATGGGAGCATTCTTACAGAGCAATTCTATACATGTCCGTCCCCCCACCCCAGCAAGAAGTTACAGTATGTTCAGTTGAGCTTATTCCCAGCTCAATCTTATAAATATATAGGATTGCAGCAAAGGTCTGTCGGTTGTTTTCAATTTGTAGAATGCCATACAGTCTCATAGTTTTTCTCCCCTAAATAAAAAATGTTAGAACACCAAGACCTGGCTCTCTTGATGCTCTTTGCATAATTTTGAAAGTCTTTGATGCTTTCTGGACTTTTGAGAATCAGAATGTGTCTGAGGAGAAAAGTTAAAGCCCAGGATACAAGAAATTTAATAATAATAATAATAATAATAATAAACAATCTTATTATTTATACCCCACCTATCTGACTGGGTTTCCCCGGCTACTCTGGGCGGCTACCAACAGAACACTAAAAACAGAATAAAACTTAAAACATTAAAAACTTCCCTAAACAGGGCTGCCTTCAGAACAACATGAAGCCGGAGACAAAGTCCTCATATTAGTATTAAGCTGAAATAAAGAGATCAGATGGTTACAGGCAGACTAACTGGATGGAATCCAGTTATCAGGTTGAACACTCATCTTAAAGTTAATTTTCCAGCAGGGAAGCACATTTTCTCCATTACATAAACAAAACCATTCCCTTTTATTTCTGTGTCCTTCTAAGATAGATCAAGCTGGGTTCTTTCCATTGCTTTGATTTTTTTATATTTTTTGCAACTGAAAGGAGCATTTGGTGGGGATGATTCAGTTCTGTTCTTACTGGTAGACTGTTACCCCATTCTTCTATAAGTGTCTGACCAGAGCGGCAGCAAAGGTGATGAAGAATTTGATAATACTACATGTAGACTATGAACCCAAGACCTATAAAACTAACCAATTTTTACAGCAGCCATAAGAAATAGCATCTTCTTTACATGTCAGTTGGAATCTACACTCTCTATCTCTATTGAACGATGCTGTAATTTGTTTTCATGTAAAGCGGAAAGTCCTTGGAGAATGAGGAAGAGGAGATACCGGAGTATCTAGAATAATACTAATTAGTCTCTACTGCCTTTTTTTTCCCTGAGGAAAGAAATAATCTGGATGCTAGATAGAGGCCTGTATCTTTAGAAATTGTAAGCCTATAAGGGCAAAACTGCATGTTACTTCATTTTCCTCTCTACCTCAGCAGGGGTGCTTGGGGAGGAGCAATCTAAATTGGGACATTCATTTTGGAAGGCTTAGTGGCTGGTGGAATTGTTAAATGCACACACTGCTATAATCAAATGGACAACCCATTATGGCATTTCATTTGTAAAGAAAACATTGGGAGAGCCAATAGTAGACCTCCTGAGTAATTTATAATTTGGCGCTTAGCTTGAGTGGCAAGACTGCTGTAGATTCCACTCAGCCTCTTCCTCCAGATCTGCACCCTTATATGCATCCCATAGGCACCCTTAGTTTCCCAAAGATAAAGTATGGTAGCTATTTGAAGAGCTGTGCAGAAGACGTGTTTATTTAAAAATACAGTAATGCACCTTATGTCAAGGAGATTCACCACCAACCATCATATACACAATCAATAATCCCATCAGATAAGTGTGCATGGAAGTGAAGCCTACAGCATTTAGTCACATGCATATAAATGAAAGTCTGCTATTTGCTGCACTGCTAATATACACTTTTAAAAAAAGCAATTATTACAAGTTACAAAATAATATGTCATGCGTACAAGCCATATTCCAGTTCTCTTACGTGATAGCTCTATAAACATTTTCAGAATAAGAAGCAAAATGTTGCTACAGAAAGGCATAATAATGAGGCCAAAGAACTACAGTTGTTGTACCTCAAGAGAACAGTTTCAATGGTCTCATTAATTTGCAGTTACCCAGAATCCTTCTTTATTTCAGTTGACTCTGAAAATCTTTAATAAAACCACAATTTCTTCCTTTCTATATTGTGCATTTTATTTTGTTTTCCACATTATTCTATAATAACCTTACAAATAGTTTAGGAAAAATACACTTTCCTCCCATCTCCACAACACTTTTTGCAGCGATGGAATACTGGGGCATCAGTGCTGCAGCTTCATCTCTCAGTCTTTTGCCGCCAACATATGCTCCAATAGTACTTCATCACTCCTTCCAGCCAGGTCTCCTTTACTTCTGCAGTACCTGGCCATCAGGAGTCAAGTTAGTATCATAGCAGAGTGCTGCGATATTAACTGCTACTGTACATACTGGCTCTTCCCTCTGCTCTGCTACCCCCTCCCAAGTGACATAGGTAAAAATAACAGCACTGCAGCATTATTTTTCCCAGTGTGCAGGAAGAATGCTGCAGCACTATTGTAGCTACCTCTCCCTGCTTTACAGGGTTAAGGGGTGCAGGGAAGCTGACACTCACTAATCTACTTGCACCAACCAAGTAGGTGGCTGGCTAACCACACAGCTACCGTCTCCTCTGTTGTACCAAACATTTCAATAAGTAGCGTACTCTTCTATTGCACTCATGCACCAAAACTAACTTCCTTAGCGTAAGACTACTACAGAAATCACAACCAGAATACACCTTATAGCAGGAAGTTCCCTGATATTTCTCAATCAGAAGGGCTTGCTATTATCAGAGAGGGTTGAAGGAGCTCTATGATGTCCATGTCACACTTGAGTAAGAATTTGTGCTCTCTGCCTGAGAAGCTGAAGCTTCAGGCCCAGCACTAGCAGCTGCCCAAACTCAGCTTAAGGAGTTCTAAACAGGATTTACATTCTTTTTAGCCAGAGAGAAAAACTCTCAATAACTTGATTTTTATTTAAGTTGTTTATATCCTGCTTTTCAAACTAGTTTGCCAACAATTTACGTCATTTAGACGTGTAGATAAGGGGTTGCATGTATTCAACAGCATTGCTCAACTGACAATAAAGCTTCCGTTGTAAGGAAAGGGATAGAAGCAATTTTTCACTATTTGTCCACCGCCCCCCCATCTGTGCAACACACACAGATACAACCCATGATTTCCAGAATTTAATTATTTATTCTACATTTACAGCCCTTGTTAGTTTCTCTTATTTTCCCTCTAACAAAATGTAACTCTTCCTCCTGTAAGTTTGCATATACCAGGCAAGCTGTGCTACCACCCAAAAATGAAACCTCAAAGTAATGGTTTGGCCAACATCAGTTATAAAATATGTATACAAACATCACAGTAATGCAATAATAGCTAGGAAATCTTTATGATAGAATGGGCCAAGGACATGGGAAACCATACTGTTCTCAAAACTTGTCACTTTTCTGAAAAAAAATGTAAGCCTATTTAAACAAGTTTAACCTTCTGAAGTCTTCACATATGAATGGGACCTGCTATACACTGTCACTGCTGGTTTGAGGTGCGTATGTAAAGGTATGGGGGCACATATTTAGCAAATACTTGCAAAGGTACCTCCACATTTTGCTTCATAGCTTTCTTTCTAGAGGGCTAGAGACTTACGGTACTTTTTTTATGAAAGCTCAAAGTCTGGGGCCCCGCCCATGGGTGCCAATGGAGGCCTTAGTGGTGGGCACTACATTGGCAACCCCTTACCTCATATATTTATATGTCCCCAAATAAAACTCCACAACTACTGTAGGTAGCTCAGTTTAACTTTTTATGCAGATGAAGTCAGAAAACTGTTTCCAACATAAGACCAACATAAGACTTAACTCACCACAGACCTTTGCTATAACCTGCTACTTCTCATTTTATTTTAAAGCTTTACCACATGTAAAGTACCAAAGATGACTGGCTGCCTTAATGCGGGTATACCTGTTAGTGGTTTTGAATGTGTCACAAATGGTTAATTTCACTCAGTTAAGAAACTTATATTAAAGATCAGGAGTGCCACTAAAATAGCTAAACATACGGTACCTATCTCACCACACACACACAATTCTCTGCTACATGCAGATGACTGAAGAGATACTACAAACATAAGTGTACATATATTCATTTTGTGTCCCTAGTTGTAACCTAAATCTGTAACCACTGGCTATGGAATGCACTCTCTATCAATATGTATCAATAACTTCTTTATTAGTCTTCAGAAAAGGGATTTTCAGCGACTTAGCAATGCAAGGTATTTTTGTAGATATTTTCTACTCATTTTCATGTTCTGTTTACATTGTTTCGCTACTTCTAGAAAATATATTTTTAATCTTAATCCGGCCAACCAGGCCTGTCTGAGAAAACCCCACCCACCTGTCAATCATCCCATGTCATTAGTCACCTTACCATGACTAATGGCTCAAATGGCACATCTATTATATCATGGGTCACCAATATGGATGCTCATAGATACACAAGTGCCCATGGAGGCTTTCTTTGATGCTCACAGGGCCCCATCCCCCAACTGAAATTAGGCTTCAAATAAAACAATGGAATGCTTTACTCCCAGGCTTAACTGTGGTACAGGACAAATTTTAGGGTTGCTACACCAGGGGAGGGGAGAGTTGTGACACATCATCATCATCATCATCATCATCATCATCATTTTTTGTTTATACCCCACCCTCCCTGGCCAAGACCAGGCTCAGGGCAGCTAACACCAAATATAAAATACAATAAAAACATTAAAACAAACAAACAAAGTAGATTAAAATACAGTTTAAAATATAGCTTAAAATGCAGCCTCGTTTTAGTGGTAGCCCATAAATCAAGATTGTAAGGGGAGAAAACATCAAATATTCACCAGGGCCAAACTATCCATGCTGGTCCTATATGGGCCAGCAAAAAGAGTCGAGGGAAAATTTATATACAAAATCCCACATAAGGGGTTCCATAAAAAAAAGGAAAAAGGGTGGAGAAAGGGGGTCAGACTGAGTCCAGCCCAAAGGCCAGGTGCAACAGCTCCGTCTTGCAGGCCCTGCAGAAAGATGTCAAATCCCACATAGCCCTTATCTCCTACAGCAGGGCATTCCACCAGGCTGGGGCCAGAGCTGAAAAGGCCCTGGCCCTGGTTGAGGCCAATCTAACCTCCTTGGGGCTTAGGACTTCCAAAGTGTTGTTATTTATGGACCTTAAGGGCCTCCACGGGGCATACCAGGAGAGGTGGTCCCATAGGTACTAGAGTCCTAGGCCGCATAGGGCTTTAAAGGTCAAAACCAGCACATTGAACCTGACCCTGTACTCCACCAGGAGCCAGTGCAGCTGGTAAAGCACTGGATGAATGTGATCCTGTGACGAGGACCCCATAAGGAGTCTCGCTGTGGCATTCTGCACCCACTGGAGTTTCTGAGTCAGCTTCAAGGGCAGCCCCACATAGAGCGAATTATAGTAATCAAGCCTGGAGGTGACCATCGCATGGATCACTGTGGCCAGATCAGGGTGAGAAAGGTAAGGGACCAACTGATTAATACGGCAGAGATGGAAAAATGCCGCCTTTGCTGTAGCTGCAACCTGCGCCTCCATAGAGAGGGAGGCGTTGAAGGTTACACCCGAACTCTTGACAGAACGCACTGGCACTAATTGAGCCCCCGCAAGAGATGGGAGTTGGCCCCCCAACCCCATGTCGTCCCGTCCCCGGCCAGAGGACATCTGTTGTCGAAGGATTTAACTTCAACCAGCTCCCATGCAGCCATCCAGCCACAGCTTCCAAGTCAGTGTGTCTGGGGCTGAGTCAGGACGGCCATCCATCAACAGATAACGCTGGGTGTCATCAGCATATTGATGACAACCCAGCCCAAAGTTCTGGACAATCTGGGCAAGGGGGTGCATAAAGATATTAAAAAACATTAGGGAAAGGATTGCGCCCTGAGGCACTCCACACACCAAGGAATACCACAATGACAACTCCTTCCCTAGCGCCACCCTCTGTCCCCGACCTGAGATAAAGGAGCGCAGTCATTGTCTGACTGTGCCCTGAATGCCCATGTCGGCAAGGGGGTGGTCCAAAAGTTCATGATTGACCACGCCAAAGGCTGATGACAAATCTAGAAGAATCAGCAGTCCCGACCTGCCTTGATCCAGCTGTCTATGGAGATAGTCTGTTAGGGCGACCAGAGCCATCACGGTCCCATAACCAGGGCGAAAGCCAGACTGAAATGGATCCAAAGCCGATGTTTCCTCCAGAAACCTACCAAGCTGTTCAGCAAACGCTCTCTCAATTACCTTACCCAGGTACGAAAGATTCGAAACTGGGCGGTAATTGGATAGATCTAAAGGATCTAATGATGTTTTCTTTAAGAGCGGACGCACCACTTCAACTTGCTTCACATGTGGTGCCAACAACAGTTTATCTGATTTACAAATCTGCTCATGGGCCCAAAAAGGTTGGCGACCCCTGTACTATATTCTGATTATTAGAATCTATTAATTAGATCAGATACTGTAGGGCTTAACCTTAAAAACCCTTAACCCTTAAAAAGGAGTTAGAGGGATGATCTTGGCATTAAACACAATAGCACTAAGATCAGAAATAAGCTTTCTGTCTCCTCCTTATAAATAAAAGGCAGTATTCCCCATTGCCCAACCCATCTTAGCACTGTGCTATTTAATGCTATAATTGGGAGATAAGATGCCTGTGCTTTAAAGATCCTCTTTAAAGGAAAGAAAGAGGGAGAGCTTTCCAGTCACCTTCACCCTAGCAATGGAGAGTAAGGGTTGGAAATGCTGAGTATGTGTGTGCACACACCCTGCCTGTGTGTCTATATGTCCAGTCTGCAAGACTAAGTGACTGTCTGTGTGTGTGGCTGAGTGTTTGTTTGGTACATACGGAATACTGTGTGTTGCATGCCTTGTGCAGTGTGTTTGGCAATGGAGGGAGGGAAAAGAGGTAGATACTTTTCTTTTTTTCTTTCAGAGGTTGGAATGCAGACCCATGAAAGTTGGGCAGGGTCAAATCTGGCCCTCAGGCTGAAACAAGTTCTTCATCCCTGCTGTAAGCTTTGTAAGCTTAATTGATAGCGAGGTACAGTGAGGCAACACAAAACATTTTAAGTCAGACTCCACTAACCAGGTGCTCTCCGGATGTTTTGGACTATAAGTCCCATTAGCTCCAGTCAGCACTGCCATGGAGGGCACCAGGCTTGAGAAGACTGTTTTAAGTAAACATGTGAAGAGGTTCTTACTGCAACATTATTTTTTTCGGAAACACATGACTTATGAGTGTTCTATTTAACAAACAGAATACACATAGCTATTACATTACTATGAGCTTGAGCCTGAAACGTACAATGTACCAGCTTGGATTCTGCCATGTGAAACCTCAAAGATAAGGAAGTGGAACTATCAAACACATTAGTTTATCACATATCAAATGGAATATACCATTGCTAACATTTAAAGAACAAGCAGTTGAGAACTTAGTAAAAAAATAAATATTCACTTAGGCCAAGTTATACAAGTGCAGAAATACATATCCATTTTAAGAGCAACGGCACATTGATGTGCAACTGATCCATATGATCTTTTTTGCTGATGTGCAACTGAGCCAGGAGGCCCGCAATGCAGCACAGAGATGTTACTGCAATTTCTACCCCAGCATGTGCATAATTTCAAAGCAGCATCAGAGATAGGGTGTCCCATCCTATAGCATCCCTGATTTGAGAGGTACAAAGTACTTAGTGACCCTTCCATTCATTTCTGCCGTATCAGAGGGGTTCTGGTGAAATGTGCAGACACTCCCCACTATACCCTCTTAAACCCCAACAGAAAGGAAAGATGAAGTACCAGAACTGATAGGCCTTCATGACCTGAATTAAGTTTCATTAAGGAGCCCATGGCATTTTAAGTTCTGAAGTCTGTTGTTTTCTTCAGCATTCGACAGTTCCTTCCACAATATAAATATACTCTAGCACTCTTATTTTAAGTATTAAAGAGATAAAACAGCTAAGACTCAACTATTCCTCCTACAACTCATAGCATCAAGTACAAACAGAATATGAAAGTTGTCGCGTCTAACCCAAGGGGTTCCAGAGCAGAACCCTCTAAGTACTAATCGACACATCACATATTACCTCTGCTTCCAGCTTTAATCAGATGGCTTCTAGATGATCAATTAGTAGTCCATGCACCAGATGTGGCACACAGAACTGTTTCTATGGCATTTGAGAATACTGAAAGGCAACCCCCCCCCATCAACATTTGCACTCCCCGGTCACTAGGATGCTCAATGGAAAAGCCCTACATTCAGACTTTTCACTTACATATGGGCAATGGCTCCAGGAGGGACTAGAGATGCGCTTGCAAGTCTCAACAGTAGCTAAGTCATAGCTGCCTCATCTAAGGAAATCTTCTTATACTACGGCCTGAAAGTAGCAAATAAAAAAAATCTAACAAAATGACCCATGTGAGAAGCACTTGTTGACAAGAGAAAAATAATGAGCAAAATAATTCAGACACCTTATGCTAGACATGTGGGGGAGACGGGTGCAACAAGAAGGCAACAGACCTTACAGAATCACAGCCGGTCTGAGAAAAGAGTTCCCTTTTCCTTACCAATATGATACGACTCATAAGAATGAAGAAAATCCTACCTATGGCACCTCTAAGATTTTTCTCTTGACCTTGTACTACAAGTTGCCCATTCCTGCACTCTTGTGTCACTTCCTAAGTCTCCGATGCACCAGAGTAGATGCCCCTTTCTTACGAGCATCTTAAGAAGGGGGGGGGGGAGCCCTTTTTTATGTTATACCTTCAGGGACCCTGGATAATATAAATTAGTGCACGAAAGCTGCCTATGTGCCTGCACTTTGTTTTGCTTCTTTTTCTCCTTGTGGTAATTTTTGTGTCACTTGCTTGCTTACAAATCCATGTAAACTGCTCCACATTTAGTCCTTGGATAAACACTTTGCTATTAAGAGGGAAAAGACCCATGGAAGGGGACAAGGAGAGGTACTCGGCAGTAGAGATGCCTGGATTGCTCTGTAATAACATTGGTATACATGCACATGCATAAGCACACATATATACAAATAATTATGAGATAATTCAAGATGTATCTTTTATACTGAGTGCATACACTCAGAAGCTGTGACCAAATGTGGTTTAGTGTGTGACCATTTAATTTTTATGAGACCAATGGTCTATCAAGCTCAGTATTCTCTACACTGACTAGCAGTGGCTCTTCAGGGTTTCCAGCCCTACGCAGAGATACTAGAGATTAAACCTGGAACCTTTGCATGCAAAGCAGATGCTCTACCACTGAGCTACAGCCCTTCCCCTTTGCGTAAGATTTCCAACAACAAAAATTATCATTTGCATGTTGGAAATGCTTTAAGCAGGCAACACCCTACAGAAATGAAGACAAGGAAAGGACATATTCTTTCAAATCCTTGCTAGTCAAGAAAAAGTGCAAATCGTATAATTCAATGGACAGTCAAAAAGGAACTGATGTCAATGTACTTTAGAAGGACCCATTCCAAAATCAGATTCAACATAATATAATCCATTAATGCAAAGTTTGTTACTGCAGCACTTCATGTTAAAGGCAATAGCTCACTGGGAATGTTTACAAAGTCTCAGATGTTGCAGGATCATATTTTAAAAAGCTAAACATTAACAATATTTTTAAGAATTTATAAACCTGCTCCTCTCCACTTTGGAATAACACTGTCAAGTGAGCTTACTTGACAACTGCAAAGTAAGGGGGGGCATGTTTGAGAATACAGACTATTGCTTCACAGCTTATACCTTTGAAGCACAGTAAATTTAAAGGAGAAAAAAACCAACTTCAACAATGTCGATCTAACTGACTAACATCCAATTAATAAGTATTCAATAATTATGATGGATTTCAGGACAATCCAACCTACGTGACTATTTTTTTTCACCCTGGGAAGATATACTTTTGCATTCCTTCAATAATTGATTGAAGAGGTAATATAAAGTTTCATATTCATAAAGTTCTGTCACTAATGTATTTCTGAATTTATATAGTCTATTTCTACTGCATCTTTAAAGAACTTGCTTCAGCAACTTGATATCAGCACAAGACACACGTATAAAATCTTACACTTTGGCTAGAAGTTAATTTTCTGCTAAGGCTGAACAGCTGGGGCCATGTAGTCCATAAAATAATGTTCTAGCACTCCTAAGCAACACAAAAGCTCTCCCTAGACAAAAGTGCTGAAAATTGTTGCCATTAACAATTGAAAACGGCTTTTAAATTGTTATTAATGTGTTCTTGGCAAGTGTTTTAAACTTAGTTAAGGAAAAACATGATCTAAAACTTTGCAGACCAATTTGCCTATTTATACATTCTCACATATAATAGGTAATAGGTTTCTAAGCTATTGAACATTCCACAACTGTGCTTCACTGCCACTGGAGATGATGTAATCTACTCACTCAACTAATGTGCACTGCCACAGACCACATTAACAATGCTGATACATTATGCCAGTGATCTCTTATTAAATGCTAGCAGAGCAAGAGAGCTATTCCCTTTATCATACATGAAGACTGTACCTCAGAACACACACTTTGCATTCAAAAGGTCCTAGGTTTAAACCTGGCATCTCCAGACAAAGCTAGGAAAGCCTCCGGACTGAAATCCTGGAGAGCTGTTGACAGTCACTGGTAGACAATTCTGAGCAAGACTGACCAGTGACCTTACCTGATATAAAGCAGCTTCCTATGCTCCTACAAATATATACATACAGAGAGAGAGAGAGAGAAAGAAAGGGCCCTCAGTATGTACATGAGCTTTCCAGAGAAACCATGGTATGTACCTCTATTTAAATATACTCTGATAAGTGTAAGAGCTCATTGGTAAAGTACCCATATACAATTTTCAATTATGTCTAAATGAGTCATAATGGGGTAAAAGTTATCTTCCCTTTCTATTTTTTTATTTTCATTGTAAGATTTAGCTATATATATTTAATAATTTAAAAAGCATATTGTAGAAGTCTGGCTTTTGACCATCATAAGAAAAACAAACCTATTCCACTAAATATCCAATGCTTGCCCGTTGCTTAATATCGTTACTTCCAGATCCAAGTTCCTCATGAGGAAGACATGCAGATTTCACCCACCTGCCAAGCCAACTATGCCTTTAGTCTATCAATATGAAATATTTAGACAACTGAAGACTAAGACTGACACCCATAAATTGCACTACAAAACTATGATTTAGTAAACTAGCAGCAATCTAGACTATTATTCTTAAATCATTTATGCTAGCAGCGGGCTACTGAAGTGAATGGAGATACTTGATCAACACTAGATGTAGTAGGTTACTCATACACCCCAAAAGTTATTCAAACAAAATCCTGGAAACAGCTATTAGGAGGCCTACATCAATTCAGTGCTATACTGCATTAACATGGTTGTTCTGTAAAGGAACTCAATAATGACAACTATTATAATAAACATTTTGGTGAAAATGAAACAATGTTCATCTAGTTTGGATATTAAATTGACAAGATTTATTGCATTGGCATTCTTTACATATGAAAATTCAATTTTTAGCGATAGCCACACTTATCACTTCTGAACCGTTTTTCTTTCCTTACACTTGCTTCTGATATCTCTCTCACATCTAAGCACTCTGAAAGTTTGTGGTGAGGTAAGAGTCATGAAGGTCTTCCTTCCATATTTGTGAATTTGCCTGCACTATACTACCTAGGAAAGTCTCTTTAAAAATTGAGTGAACTCCAATGGTTTTCAAATACAGGGTGTAGAGTTCCTGGTTGGGTCAAGAGACATACTTGAAGTCTTAGAGAAAGCATTCCAACATAACCTATAAGCAGTTTTCCTGGAAATACTGTGGAACATAATGAACAAGAATGGAAAATTCTGGGGTCCCACATCCCACAAATGTTCTTTGATAAATATATCTAATGTAATTCAATCTATTGGAATAGGATGGCCAGTATCTACTGTAGCATTCTCCTGAATACAATCCAAAAAACCCTCAAAATTTAAAAGGCTACATGGAACAGATATACCTAAACAGATACTGACAACAGAAATGTGTAAGAAAAATAGATATGCACACGTGATCATATACATTTATTTATTTATTTATTTATTTATTTATTTATTTATTTAAGCTAGCTAACCAAATAATAAAAGTACAAATAACTATGTATTAAGGACTGCATGCTATTTTATACATACATCAGATCCGCAGAGAAGGTCAGTTTTTATTTTTATTTTACACCGGATCAAGTTCCCAGCTTTCATGGTGGTTGATAAAAAGTTTAACTGTCTGATGAAGCATCAGAAATCTGAATGGATATGAGGAGAGGTCTAATGCTTTGCATATGCTCCCTTCCTTATAACTACTGTATAACTACTGTATTATTAACCTTATCATGTTCCTACTATCATCTTATTACTAATTTTAATGCCACCCTCCATCCCCAGCTTCTATGTTCTCTCTCTTTAGCAAACATTATAAATCCTTGAAAGCCTTAGTGTTGGGTTCACAACTATGCAAAGTAGACCTATACCAGTTTGCTTCATTTGCATAGTTTATTCTAAGTACAGAATTTCATTTTTTTCTCTGTTGTGCACATAGCATATAGCCCTGATCAGATTTCAGTCTTCCTCACAGGAAATGTTCACAGTTTTCATTACCAACTTTTAATTTAACTTATGCTTCAGCAATTCAGAAAACAAATATGATAGCCATTAGAAGGTCATGACAACATAGGAGGTACTAAAAAAAAACTGGACATGTTTTGCTTAGAGATTATACAGCTCAATCCTTTCCCTACTTGGGAGTAAGTCCTATTGAGTTCAATGTGATTTACTTCCAGGTAAGTAAGTAGAAGATTGCAGCCTAAGAGGAAATAAGATAGTTCTCTGGATTATTGAAAACTGCTATCATAAAGGAAACAGAGAATGGTTGCTACATGCACCAAGAGATAGGACTGAACTTTTAAAAAAAGTATTTAAACTGCAGTTTCACAGACTTGTGGTTGATGTTTGAAGCTGGTAATATCAATATGCATTCAGCAATAAGTTTTCTGAAGAATTTCCAGAGGAGTAGCCATATTAGTCTCTTGCAAAATAATCTTGTGGCACCTTACTAACAGATTTATTATGGCATAAGCTTTTGTGAACTCAAGCTGACAAAGTATGCCTGAGTCCATGAAAGCTTATGCCATAATAAATTTGTTAGTATTTCAAATGCGACAAGACTCTTGGATAATTTTTCTTAAGAAGTTATGGAACACTCTGGAGATTTAAGAGAAGCATGAATGAGCATCATTGGTGTGGATAAAGTCCAAGAAACCATGCTATTGTATCTGGCTGAGCTGGATTATCTCTGAGGTTACTTTTACTTCTATTATTCAGCTGGCACAGCCTAAACACCTTAGGTCACAAAGAATCACATATCTGCATGACAACCAGAACTCTGAAGTAATGGAAGGGAGTGTATTTTCCGAACTTCATAAAAAAAAAAAACCCCTAACAATCTCAAATTAAATTTAACCAAAATGTAATGTAGCTTTTTTCCTTATTAAAATCATCACCAGCCTGGTTTTAGGAATCACAAGCCTGCAGCAATTTCAAACACCAACCACTATAATTTCAGGAGTGATGTCAAATGGATCCAGCTTCCTTTTCTGATTCACCTAACTTCTGGCTCTTCTCACATCTCATTCCTCTCCAGAAACAAAAGAAGTCCTACGCCAGAACAAAGTAGGGACAATACCTCTCAGCACTGGAAATAATGCATAGTACTTAAGCTACAATCCTATGCATGCTTATTATGATAGGAAGCTGAAATGAAATCTGTGTAATTTTATTCCTGAGCACACAAGCAAAGGACTGGGCTGCAAGTTTTCTTACAGAAGCCAACATAGAATCAAAAGCTAAAAGAATCAGTTCAAAAATATCAGGACCAAAAACATTAACCAAACATTTAGTGTCAGAAAGTGATAGAGAAGATAACATTTTTAAATAGATGAGTTTAGGTGAGATTATGAATACTGATACACGGTACAAAGAACTTACAATAGGAGGAAAGGGAAAGGAAAACGTGTGTTCTGGATTCTGCAGCCTAATAGCAGGTAGCTCTCGGATTCTTAACAAAAACGAGCCTTATGAAAACGACTCGCTTAATGGGCACAGCGGAACACAGTAAGAGCAAAAGTTTACACCCCTCCAAGTACAGTTCTTTGCTTCTCCAGGAGAGAAAACGAGAGAAGAACCAAAGCCTGTCCCATTGGAGGGAAGAACAATAAACTTTTAATACAGATGCCCGACACTTAAGAACCACTACGATTGTAAACCTAAACACAATTAAACTTTTTTTTTTAAACCAAGTAGGTGTTGCTTCTTACCTGGTGGGTCCATTTCGATATAAAATATCAGCTCAGTTGAATATGGCATCATCACCTCCCTCCAGTCCGTGTCATCGCGATCCATATCCCACACTGTATTGTACATTGTGACAAACAGGCAGATGGGCGATCTCTGGGATCCCTCTTTGTGAGCTTCGTTTCTTTTAAATAAATAGAGCAGCACACCACAAAATAAAGCTTAACCGCCCATAGCAGGTACAAAAAAAGGGGGTGAGTGGGAGAGAAACTTTATTTAAGAATAACTCGATGGCTTCCTCTTCAGGAAAACCACTCCCCTCTCAGGAAGCGAGAGGAACCAAAAGAAATGTTCTTTTTTTTTAATTCTCTCCTTGCTTCGAGGATACTGAGGGTGGAAAGAAGCCACTTAGTCGAAATATGCAAAAAAAAGCGTGTGCGTGGAGGCAGAAGGAGAATTTTTTGCTTGTTTTGTGTTGGTTAAAAAGAAAAGTTTGAGGAAACTGAATGTCGCTCTCTCTCTAAAAAAAAATAAAAAATATTAACAATCCTTCTGCTCTTCCCGCAAAGCGAGTGTGCGCCAGTGAAGGGGAACGTCTCCCTTCTCTCTGTCGCCTCAGGGCAAAGCCCAGCGCCGCCAGTCCAGCAGCACCGCTGCCCCCCTCGAAGCCCAGCGCTCACTGCTGCAGGCAGCAGCAGCAGCAGCAGCAGCTCCCGACCCGCTTCCCGCCGCGCACAAGCCCAGCGTCGGCCCCCGCGCGCTTTCTGGTGCTCGGCTATTCCCAACCCCACTCGGATTCATTTTAAAGAGGCTCTGAGGAGGCCCCAACCGCCGCCAACCGCCTCTATGCCGGGGATGAAGCTCCGCCTACCCGAGGGGGGGGAGAAGTGGGTGAGGGGCAGAGCGCGCGCGGGGGGGGGGGAGAACCCCGCCCCCACTTCGGTTAACCCTTTCATGCTTGCGCTGAAAGGGTATTTCACCTACGTAGTCTGGACGTGCGAAGAAACCGAAGCCGGGAACCGGGGAGACTCTGCTTCCAACTTTACCTCCACCTCTCTTCTGAGAGTCCACACACATACTGAAAGTAGCAGAGGGTGGGGTGGGCAGCGTAGCGATACGAGGGAGATAGCCTCCCGCTGGAGCAGCAAAAGGTGGATAGGTGCCCCCCCCCCCGGCCGCCCAATCGCTCGCCTGCACCCTGTGAATGTAGACCCCGGTGCACAGAGGTAAATCGCCAGCATCAGAGACCATTCAGAGATAGGATCGACTCCCCCCCGCCCCGTCTATATCCCCCTTTCCCTCCCAAACGGCACACAGGAGACGATGCACAAGAAAGTATGTGCTTACTTGCTGACTGACATGGGTTAACGCACAGGAGAGTAAGCGGTATGTTACCGTTGACCACATACTTCCTACATTTTTTGTTGGTATGGTCCATCTTTGGATTTGCTTGCACTCGGACTGTGAACGTTTGTGGATAATGCGGTTGTGATGTGTGAAGGGACTATATATTCTAATGTGCAATGCGTGTGAAACTGACAACGTCTGACTTAATGTGTGCATGGTGTTTCACTGTGCTGATGTGCAGGCATATAATATGCTAAGTGTGTATGAACATAACTGAAGCCATAATCAGCAGCCCATCAACTACAGAGCAGTTCCAGTGTCTCCAATGGGATTACTCCAAATTTCGTGGGATGTGGAGACTCCAGTCATGTGTACATGATCTGGTTTATGGAGAGCTGTGAATGGGCACATATACTGATGCTTGAACTTGTGGGGATGTGAAATGGCCAGCTTGGATATAAGAGTCATAACTGTTTTAGTATCTAATACATTATAAAAACTTAATTTGAATGGAAGCAAGGAATCAGTGCATGCATTCTTGGTCCTGCACAGCAAATTTTTCTACATGTGCATGAATTGGGTTGGCTACTGGAAGCAAAGTGAACAAAAATGTAGGGTGCTGCATGTACTGGGGGAGGGAACCCTGAAAACAGGAGAGAGAGAGAGAGAGAGAGAGAGAGAGAGAGAGAGAACACTGTACCAAGCCCAGTTTATCTGTGCCTTCTATATAGCAGTGGCTAAGCACATCTAATTCTGGTTGGTTGTGTACATTTGTTACATGCATAAGAAGCAATATGCTCCAGTCACTCTATTAAACTCAGTGAAATTTCTATAGGTGAATATTACAACATCTGTGACAGAGTGTATGGGAAGTGTTTAATCATATTGGCATGGTGCATATAATGTGGTGTGGCTAATTATGTGCAACTGACTGAAAGTTTGTGACCATGCAATCCAATTGTGCCCATGTTTACTTAGGAGTCACAGGGGCTTACTTCTCCAAGTATGAAGTCATAGGACTGCAGCCAGATTTGTGTATGTGGCAGATTGTGGGTGATGCGGTGTTTGTGCCTCAGTGTGATGTAATATTTGGAAGAGTGCTTAATCAATGCTATTTTATATGCATTTCATGATGGAGGAACTGTTATTGTAAAATTCATGTTGTGTAGTTTGTTGGCAGGACATGTGAGACAATGACTCCTGTAGAATTAGCTGCTCATCTAATACTTTTAACATGTATGTTTTAACCTGTCTAGTTAGGATCAGTCTTACGTGTGAAGTCTGAAACAACCTGGGTCTGTTGCCCATCCTTGCCAAATACTGATTGTAAAATGCTAGGCTGCAGTACTATTTCTGCTCCCACCTCCCTAACTACAGTATTCAAAATCTAACATGTTCATGTGTGATAGTTATTCACAGAAACTGGTGTTCACACAGTCCTTAACATTTTGAAGGAGTTATCCCATAATATTCAGGATAGTCTAGATAATCTGGTTCCAAATGTTTGTAATATACTATGCACATGTGGAATCAATGAATACTCTCAGAGAAAACTTGGTTTTAAGCAGCATCTACCTATGTGAATGGTAATTCACAATTATATTTGTGATTAAATATCCTAGCCATACAACATTGTTTGTTGTCCTTAGGGATATCATATTGGAAAAAACTGTACACTACCATATCTGATGACTGCACACATTCCTTATTGCTGCATGCTCCTGCTGTGTACATATATTGGGGAAGCTATAGCCAATCATTCCCAGATTTCACATCTGTGGAGAAGCCACTGCCTCCATCTAGCAACCATTGTTTTTAATTACAAACTGAGGTTTAATGTATAGACAAGACCATTACATTCACTTTCCTAGTTAAAACATGCTTTGTGCTTGGAGCTACCCATGTGATCTTGATGAGTCAGCTTAAGTTTTGCACATGTGAAAATGGTGAAGTAATTTTAGGATATTCTTCAATGTCTCTGTCTTCAAAGACAGAACTACCGTAACTGGTTTAGAGTTTTGGGAACAGGAGTTTGCGTATTTTGTTCAAAGGCTGAGCTTCTTTACCCTGCCACAAATGAAGGCAAGTTATTGAAGCAGGTGACAAAGTGACAAGACAAATAAATGGTCTAGGTATGTTTCTGAACTTTGCGGCACGAGAGGTCCTGAGTGCTTTGATTAGGGATAGCTGCAGAAACAGTGTTATTTGTTGCCAGTGTAAAATATAGGCATACAATTCTACCTTTCCTCTCCTTATTTAAGGCAAGAAGTCGCATATTACGTCTCTGGCTTGCTGCCAGGATACACGCCAGCTCGGCAGGCGGGAAGAAAGAGGCGGGGGTGGGGAGGAGAGCGCGGATTAGTTAGCCCAGTTTGCGAGAGCCGCTTTGCTTGTCTTTTGTCTGAGAGGAAGCATCGAGCTTGAGGATTGGCTGAACGGCCCTCGGCAGAACTACCCAATAGGAAGGAAAGAAATCCAGCCGGTCGGATGGCGATTGGCTGGAAGTCCCAGTTACTAAGCGGGACAAAGAAAAGAGGGTAAAGGGAGGGGGGAGCTGGAGTGGAGAATGAAAGAGCTTGAAGTGCCCACCTCCGTTCTTCCCCATCAGACTCCACCCCCCCCCGCTTCTTCCTTTCGCTAAATGGTGTTTTACTACTCACACGAACAATAGACACAAGTGATGCATTACGAATGCCACCGATGAAATCTGGGCACCTCCTGGGTCGGCTGAAGATGTCTCAAGATCTAGCCGTCCCATACAGAATATTCGAAAATAATTGAGAGGCAACACGCAGCATTAAGGAGAGCTATGGTTTCAAACGCACCGTGGATAAAACTGCACACAACGTTCGCTGCTCTGCTCCCTCACCCGCTTTGCTTCCTTGTGTTGGCGTTCAGCCCAGTAACCCCGGTGCCCTTTCCAGCTGTTTTGAGAGATGGAAGCGAGCTGGAACTTAACACTTCAACGTACAACTCAAAAATATTTCGAGTGACTTTACAAATAATAGTAATAATGAGTTCAGTTCTAGTCAGATACTCTTAAGGCACTTTATAACTACATGTTCCTATTTAATCACTCCTTTTGAATGAACGTCAGATCTAGAGAGATGCCTGGCCACAGCTGAGAAATAGCATCTGTCAATTGTACAGATAGCGAGGTAATAAGAGCAACCTTCAGAAACTGAGAAACAAATATTAAAAGGGGGCAGAGATTGTACTTTTCGCTGCATCTAAATCAGGAATAGCTAACCTTTGGCCTTGCAGATGCTTGACTACAACAACTCCCATTATACCTCACCATTGGCTACAGAGTTGGGGGGGAACATCTGGAGGGCCACAAGTTACCTGCCTCTGTCTTAAATATCTATTATACAGGTCCAGATGATATGAACTGAGATTTACTCCAATGACTGTCTGCATGATCCTAGTCATGTTCACTCAGAAGTAAAGCTTACTGCATTCTGTGGGATGGATGATTTCTTAGAAAGTCAAGAATTGCAGTCTCTCTCACACACCTTTAAATTACATTGTTGTGTTTCCTCATAACCAGATGTTGAGTCTTTTTACACCAAAGTAAGTCCCCCTGAGTTCAATATAGCTTGCTTCTGAGGAAGTAGGCTCAGGACAATTTGCAGCTTATGCAGCACTACTGTACTTGTTGCAGCTGACCCAAAACCAGAGGTAATGTGATGCTGTAGTCAGGCTGCAAGCCAAGAAAACTAGAAACAGCACTTTGCAATCATTTTTCAATGAGATGTTTGAAACTACCTTTAGTCAATGTAATAGATAGGCCTAAACAAAGTTCAGATTTTGAGAGAAAAGGAGTATCTCTTTAAGTAAAGAAAGCAAGAGTCTTCTAGAAATTTTAAAACAATGGCAGGGTCACAGGAGCACGGCTTGGAAGGACACATTTACTTGAATGGTGATGGGTGGAATTAATTTGATGTCAAATGGTGATGTGGGGGAGCTCATAGATGCTTTAAGTTACACACAAAGTTGACATCAGAATTGTTATATACCTATCTATTTCACGGAAAAAGACATTTCTGCCTGTAAAATGTCACTGATTCTCTTCACAACTTTCACAGTTTTGATGAATGTTCATGATGTAACCCTTCCTCCGTGAACTCAGCACACATTTTGAGACACAGAGCTTAATTAAACCACAGCTTCAAATGTAACATTGGAAGCAGGATTGAAAGAGACTGCGTTTCTTCTTTTAAAGGTGTTTTTCATTGCTCTGAAAACCAAGCAACTGATAATTTCTCCATCCATAGCAATACATATTATACATTCAGATGATATAATATTTGTGCCAGTTAACCAATCCCCCTGCTGATGGGGGTTTTGGTGAATACTAAAAATGAATAAAATGGTGTTGAATAATTAGAAGCCTACATTCACTTTACAGAAGTATGGCAATAGAGACTTTTAAGTTTACTGCTGCTGCTTGAATAATCTCTGTAGGAAGTAATTGAAAGAAAGCTGCTGCTACAGTAACCAGATTCCTTGAGGGAGAGAG